AGCCAAAATCAACTGATCAGCACACATCTACGTGGCCACTATAGAGGCCCTAGGCGTTCAGGTACTGGGCAGCTTCCTCGTCAGGGTCCTCCTGACCAAGATCATCTTCCCCCGGCTGAGCAAGAGTCTCCTTTTCATCAATGTTGATTGGAGCAGCGGGACTGGACTTGGTCTTGACCCTGCGGGCGGGGGTCGGGTACACGAAAGTACCCAAACGTTTGGGTGGCCCGGCTGCCGTGGCAGTCAAGGGCGTGCCATGGATGGTGGGAGGGGGTCCGGTGTCGGAATCTGAGCTAACGTGCTGGTCCGAAAAACCTGCAGGCAAGCGAAGGAAGCCAGAGATCTTGTCGCCGATGCGTTTGTTTGCCTGCTCTAAGTACTGGACCATCGAAGCCATTGAGTCTTGGAGAGCTTTCTGCTCCGAAGCAACATCTTCTGCGAAGGTGGGTGGAAGCTCTTCTATCCCGATCTTGTACTTGGCATACTGCGGCTTGTCACGAGGACTGAACAGATCCAAATGGATGTCATCGGTGCTAATGAGATGAACGATGCCGTCAGGATCTTGATTTGGCAGGCGAAGATACATGGCATGCTGTCCGAAGACCATGACGACGGAGCGCTTGAGGACAGCAAGAACATCGGCACGATCATGACCAGCGAAGAACTTACTAACAAGCTTGAAGAACTCCTCCGAAGTGATGTTTCGACGGCCATTGTCGTTGGGTGGTTCGTGCTCACTTTCCAAGTCATTGGACGCGATGGCTCGCATGTTGTTACGAACCATCTTGACATCATTGTACCTGCCGCTGCAAGTTGCGTCCTCCTCCGAAGTCATCCAACTCTTGATATCGGACATGTTGAGCTTGTCAACTTCAGGATCGTCCAATATCAGAGCCTCATGAACTTGCCCCACACGATGGCGGAAATTGTCTAGTGATTCCGCGCGGCGCCAGGCCGGCTTCACACCATCAATTCCTTGGCGGCAAATGTGGTATCGACCAAGGGCCAAACCCATGACGATGAGCATGGGGGTTTTGCCAACACCAGGCCAACCCAGGGTGAGGATGCCATAGTTAAGCAGAAGCGGATACAGTATCGGCAGGAGGAAATCAGCCATGAAGGGCTTGAGGCTCCGCGTCGTGAACGGGAAGAATCTGGCAGCAGTTGCACCGGCCTGCCCTCACGCCTTGTTCTGTGCCATGATGCGGACCTTCGACTCCGGCCAGCCTGCTATGGGCGAGCCGGAGTCTGGCTTGATGTGCGTAAGAATCCAGACGTACTGCAGGTTCTCAGCATCGCAATCTGGGGCTCGCTGGTCTATGAAAGCGACACCTTTGTGAAGTTCATCAGTCTCCGGGTTCCACTGCGATGTTTCTGCACGCTTCAAACCAGTGCATTTGGAAGAGATGCTAGCCCAATCAACGTGGTATCCTGGAAGACGATCGATGAGGGACTGAATGGCTTTCTTGAGTGTCCATGGCCCAGCCTTGAAGATTGGTACATAGCACTGGCCCCCGCGCAGCTGCACGATCTGCTGGATGTTTGTCTTGTCCGCAAAGTACAACACTTTCACTATGTGCATTGCGCCGTCCTCCATATTGTGGACGACAAGCCCCAATTTGGAACCGCGTGGCAGCTGGCCTTTGAGGCGAATGTTTTCCGGTAGCTCATCTAAGCGGCTGTCCTGAATGATCTCACCCAGCTCGGCAACATTGCCGAACTCATGAACATTCCAGTGGATGTCAAATGCCATGGCGCAGGTCTTTAATCCATCCGGTCGTCTGCACACGTCAGCAACAAAATCGCTGACTGAGACAGGATGTTCTATGGCAGATGTGTGCACAAAAGCCGCACTTCGGAAGGGATAAGGCCTCATACTGATGCTCCTTGCCACCGAACTGGTCCATAGCCTCGTCCAACAAGTTAGCCATGGCTGCAGACTTTAGGCCACTTTAGTAGGCTAAGCTAGAGGATTTCGTCTGATGCTGAAAACACCTTGCCCTGCAGGCGATGAGACGGAATTAAATGTGGTGCTCCAGCACGACGCATGCAGGATGAAGCAGTTCGCATCATGATGCTTTTGTTGGTGCCACGTGTTCCTGCCAATGCCGCCTATAACACACACTCTAGAACGCCTTGGACTTACCAAGACCGCCTGATGGTTCCCTCGGCCTACTCACTAGTCGGTGTCACTGTCCTCCTCCTCCTCCTCCTCCGACTCGTACTCTGCGAGTTTGGCTTGGTCACCCGCAGCTCTTCTTCCAACTCCTTGATGATGATGTCCTTGTTGTAGATGTCCTCCCGGTACTCATTGTTCTCAGCCACCGCTTCATCCAGGGCCATCTGGACACGCTCGTAGTCCGAGAGCGAAACCTTTTCCGAGGAGCTCTCTGAGTCCGACGATGAGGAGGAAGATGATGCAGGCATGTTCTGATTTTCCACTTTCATCTGCTGCTCGTTGTTCTCTGGAGGGGGGTTGCCGTCCTCGATGGGGTTGTCCTCCTCGATGAGGTCGTCCTCTAAGGCCTGATGTGCTGGTTCTGGAGCTACGTCCATGAGGGCTGGAACTTTGTTCCGGATGCGCTTGGCTTTTCGCAAGAGCACGAGCAAGCGATGCTCCGCTTCTTTGTTCCAGCCGCCCTTGACAACACCCACGGGCAGGCCCAAGCTTCGCTGGACGGTGGTGATGTTACTGCGGTGTTCGTCCGATGTGAGGCCACGGCGAGTGTTGTGGAGAACGATGAACTCGCTGTTCACATTCCTCATGATGTCGCCGTGAGTCGGTGGCTTTGTCGCGTCAAGGTCTGGGCCTTGCGGAGCAGCCGCCGGGCCTTGTGGAGCAGCCGCCGCAGCAGCTTCCGGAGCCAGGCGAAGGTATGCGGCACCTTGGTGAACCACCATCTCACCGGCCAGGCGCATGGGTAAGGCCATGCTTTGTATGTGAGGCGGGCAGGGATTTCAGTCACTACAAGCCGAGCACTGAGCGCTGAGAAAGATCAGCGTGGGTGAAGCAGACAGCATTGAGTAGATGAGAATGGGATAGATCGGAATGGCCCAAGTTCACCACTCATTGTTTGCAGCATGAAATTCTCTATTCGGCTTATGTAGTCGATCGGTGCACGGACGAAGCTTCTGCTCCTATGAGTTCATGAAGATCGCGATGGCTGCCCACAACACAATGCCGCCATCCACCTTCGTCTACCACTGCACCTCCCCGCTAGTGGCAGCTTACTGCTCATGTGATCCTTTTGGAAAGTCGCGATGGCTGCCGACAACACAATGCCGCCATCCACCTTCGTCTACCACTGCACCTCCCCGCTAGTGGCAGCTTACTGCTCATGTGATCCTTTTGGAAAGTCGCGATGGCTGCCCACAACACAATGCCGCCATCCACCTTCGTCTACCACTGCACCTCCCCGCTAGTGGCAGCTTACTGCTCATCTGATCGTTTTGGAAAGTCGCGATGGCTGCCCACAACACAACGCCGCCATCCACCTTCGTCTACCACTGCACCTCCCCGCTAGTGGCAGCCTACTGCTCATCTGATCGTTTTGGAAAGTCGCGATGGCTGCCCACAACACAATGCCGCCATCCACCTTCGTCTACCACTGCACCTCCCCGCTAGTGGCAGCTTACTGCTCATGTGATGGTAGCATAAGCCTGTGCTCGAGATATCAGTATTTCAAGATATTTCAACTACAGAAGATTGACGTCATATTCGGGCCAGTGGCAGCTGACTGCTCATGTGATGGTAGCACAAGCCTGTGCTGGAGATATCAGTATTTCAACATATTTCAACTAGAGAAGATTGACGTCATTTTCGGGCCCGTGTTAATTAACACGGGCCGTGTTAATTAACACGGACCCCAGGAACCAAGAACCAAGAACCAAGATTCCTAGAAAACTTTCTGGGCCAATCTTGGTTCCCAAGCTTGGGCTCGAGCCCGTGTTAATTAACACGGGCCGTGTTAATTAACGTTCCTAGGGGCCGTGTTAATTAACACGGCCCGTGTTAATTAACACGGGCTCGGGCCCAAGCCTGGGAACCAAGATTGGCCCAGAAAGTTTTCTAGGAATCTTGGTTCTTGGTTCCTGGGGGCCGTGTTAATTAACACGGCCCGTGTTAACTAACACGCCCTTGGGCCTCGGAACCAAGATTCGTCCGCAAAGTTGTTCCTCGGCCCCGTGCACTAGCACAGGCCTTATACAGGGCCTCATATAGGCAACTGTTGGCTTCACTCCGACTTTTTGGATATTTTGGGGTGGGGGGCTTCTACGGGGCCTCATATTCGTAACTTTTGGCCTCACGCCGACTTTTTGGATATGTTGGGGTGGGTTTTGGGGGGGGGGGGGGGTACCAAATAAATAATTCGAAATATTTCAATGATTTAAACTATTTGTTTTGGAAAATACTCTAAATAATTTGAAAAATATTTCAGTTAGCCCTTAATTGAAATATTTATCTTATTTGAATTATTTCCTTTTGAAAAAGACTTTGAACAATTTAAATTATTTGAATATTTGAATTTCTGTACAATTGAATTAATAGATGTAATCAAGTCACTACGTCAAATAAATAGACCCTAAAGGAGCCTCCTCTGATACATATATACATATATATGTACATATATACATATATACAAATCTATATGAATATTCAGCCTTGGGTCCTCATGGCAACGAGAAGAAGACGTGTTTGTATTGTATGTGTATTTTTTGAATCTTCAAATCCAATTGTTCGAGGGTTTCCACAGAATCAACACGTATTTCGTGTAGTTGATTAGATTACGACGACGACAAAGAAATTGGCGACAGTGAAGAAGCAGAAGGCAAAGGAAAGGCGACAACCGGCATAAACCGGTATCTACATGCGTTGCTGCTTGTGCGCGCGGGTGTGTCGGTAAGTGTGTGTGTGTGTGTGTGTGCGCGCATGCGTGTGTGTGTGTGTGTGTGTGTAGTTTTGAAGCCTTGGACCCGCGCACTCGGAGTCCTGAATGAAGGGGGATGATTTGCTGCAAGATTTCGTCGTGGATGACGAGCAGCTGAAGGAGGAGGCCAGAGAGAGCAAGCACCGAAAGATGTTGCAAAGGCGATCGGTAGATCCCTACAAGGATTGGGTTTGGGGCTGCAGGGGAGTCGCAGGTTCTGGGATTGAGCCGTCCCAAACCTTGTTCCTCGCAAGGCCCTGTCTTCGTGAGGGCAGCTTCCCAGACTCCTCAACTCTCTATTCAACCAGTGCCTGAACCTGAAGCCTTCGAGCCGCGCGCTGCAGAAATTTCCTTCCCTGCATATATCTTGCTAACGTATGACTAATGTGTCATATTGTTGCTCGCACAGCGTATGAACAGGATTTTTGCGCAAGGTGTAGAGGATGTGGCTCTTTGGTGGCACACAGCATAGTTTGTGCTTAATGTGGTTGACACGGCATCGATGCCGAAGTGATGTTGCGTTGCATCAATTTGCATATATATATATATACATATATATATATACATATTTAATTTGATTGGAGATTCATGTTCGCTTGTATCGCGAAAACAAGAATACAATACATGCATGAGGGCAATAACACATACAGTTATGTGCATGTCACTGAGTGTGATTTGAAGCAGGAAAAAAGCATAAGGGCAGCATGACGAGTGGATGAGCACATGTCTTGTCGTATGTTCGGGTTGCGAACATAAGGTGAGCGAGTGAGCGCGAGCATGCGTGAGCAAGGTGCGGTGCGTTGCGTGTGCGTGAGGGAGGGAGGGAGTGCATTGCTACAATCGCGGTGGAGGTGCTTGCAGCCAAGCAGAGCTTCCTGGAGAGTTTCAAGGTGGTCGAAGAAGTGTTTGCAGCTTTTGCTTGGTTTTCCATTTGGTTGGTTGCACAGCATGGGCAAAAGTGTTTTTGATTGCACTTTGCAGCAGCAGCTGGAGCCTGCAGTGAAGCACTGGTGGCTCCTGTCAACCAGATAATATACGGGTGCAGACGCGTTCCACGTCGAGCTCGGTGTTTTACAACCTTCAAAAGGCGCGCCGTTTTCAAGGGTGATTCTTATCTGTGGGCCGAGCAATATGCCAATAAACGGAGGGCATTGCATTTTGGCTAAACGGCAAGGAATCAAAAAGCAGAGTTGCAATGGCCAAAGCTGGTGAACATGCATCGGATTTTCGTTTCCATCCCAAAGCCATCCAGTCATGCACTTCAAAGCCACGGTGAAGTTGTTGCCAGTTTGATGCACGGGACCTCCTTGAAGTTACATCCTCGCGAGGAAAACCTCAAGCGCTTTAATGCCGAAGAGGCCCGGCAATTGCCAGCGTCCTTGATACACCGTAGAGAGACAACTCGATGAATTCCAGAACCTATACTTGGGTCGAGCATAAACTGTTGCAGTCGCTGTTGATTTTGTTGGCCCGACACCCGTTGTTGCAAGGATGCCTGTTACATGTCACCATAAACGGAGCACCATATTCCCGAGAGAGGTTCACGATGGCAGCAGCTTTGTAGCAGCCGTCTTCACGACTGTTAAATCCTGACTCTTTTTCATGTAGGCTTCTGCTTGTTGTTGGACCACTTCGTCCGTTGACAGATCTGTTCCGTCTGAACTTGCTGCTGGCTGCAATGACCTGATGACGGACATCTCCACCCTACGGCATGCCCCAAAGGCCTCAAGCACTGAAGGTTACACAGTTCTGCAACCCCAAATCCATTTTTTCCTCCTCGCTTGCGTTGACAAGGAATCCCGGCACGAAGCAGCGACTGCGACTGCACCACATACATCTATCGGTCGGTTGCAGACGTAGGACGTTGCCTGGAGGGAAGTGTTCAAGAGACAAAAGCCTGGCGCACCTGCCTAAATCCTGTTCGTTTGGGGTTCGGTTTATTACCTTCAAAGGTCCGGTCGAGGGCTTGTTACAGGACGAAGCTATGCTTCTGCAGTACAGTTACGATATACTGTGCAGGCCGCATGTGTGTGATGTTTGGCTATGTCTGGGTCGAATAAAATTGCCAGCCACCTCAGCCAAAGATTCTCTCAAGGCGAGGGTCCTCTTGCTTGGTACTGAGGACATGGCCAAGCATCACTTCTTGGAGGCATTCTCCTCCCGATGCCGCAGCAAGCAGGCCACCATGAAAAATGCTCGTACTCGAGGGTTTGCAGTGCGATTCGGATTCACAGCCAACATGGTGAAATGTGACAGGAAGGAATTTCTGCGCGTAGCACCGGAAGGATCCTAATCTTGGGTTCATCGCACCGGTAATCTTAATATTCCAGAGTGGTGCCCATTGGACACTCTGCGAGAGTGCCACAAGGAAACAGATCAAAAAAGACCGTAACCTTGATCAACACTACTGGGTCTTCAGGAGAAGCACCAGCGCTGGGAATTTGCAGATAGTGCCTTGGATGTCGAGGCCAGCCCAGCTGCCACGCCTGCATCACAGGTCTGTATGAACATGACATGAACTTTGATTGGAGAGCGGCATTGGAAGGAACTGCGGATGCTCCTGCAGGAGTCTCATCGCAGCAAGGCTCGGGCCATAGCCGTCCCGACTGGGATGCGAGTATCTGAACCCATTCCTGCTTCGAGCCCCCCCCATTACACGATGTCTTTGAGTCGTAGCTCACGAAGCCGCATAGCTTCCAGAACTTCGAGGTGAGGTTTCTATTCGGCCTGTGGCATGGCAATATTCTTCTTTGCTGCACCTGGACTATTACCGCCCTAACCGTTGGATTAAGATCATGCAGAAAGAGCAGTTTTCGCATAAGTTTGATTCACAGATTGTCTTCCGCCCACAGGTGGAGAAGGAGCTGCAGATGCAGCAGGCCAAGCATGACGAGGACGTGGATCGCATTCTGGTCCAGGCCCGCGCTTTGTTTGCGCAGTTCGACATGGTCTACCATAGACGTTTCCGCTGAGCGCTGGGGGACTTCACTTCAGAAGTCTCAGAGCACTTGCTGCATCTGCTGAGTCCATCTGCTATCCAGTTTGGGTTCCTGTAACCCGGTTGCCAGTGTTCAGCTGTGCTGATGTGCCTGAGGGCTCCGTGATGCCAACGCAGTCGATATCATCCGTGCTAGCGGCAAGTAGGTAGAGGGCCTGAAAAAGCTATCTCAGGCGCGTTGGGCGGCAGAACCCGGACGGTGTGCAACTGTGACAGATCCCCGCCGATACCTCCAAAACACGAAGCTGGACAGGTGCAGTCTTTCCAACAGGAGCTGAAGTCAGCGATTGAAACCAAGCAGTTGCTGGACAAGGACCTTGGCTTGGCTGCAGTTTCTAGGATTCACAGGGTCAATTAAACAGAATTCGATGCTGGTTGAAGCATGCATCTGTCCGCCAGAACTGTTGAACTCAGATGGTCGACAGGTTTGGTGTCAGAGGATCGGCAGAAACCATGCAGGCTTCTCGCCAACAAGTACAGCGCGAATACACGACATCGCCAAATTTTCGGTGGCGGGGCATTGAAAGGAGAAGGCGTCCATGCAAGAGGCTCACAAGCTGGAGTTGCAGGACGAGGGCATTGCTTTTCCTGCGTGCATCCGTCCGTCACTATGTTTTGCTTCCTGCCTACACGGTCGGCTGTTCGGCTCTCTTTCCATTTGTCCGTTTGTCTGTCCGGAGAGGGTATCTGAGATCGTGCGGGTGTTCAGTGACGTCTCTGAGAGAAAGTAGGTGTATGCTGAGGATGCGCAAACAAGCACGACTGCGGTCTTTTGCATGTACACCTGAGAATGTCTATATCGCAGCGACAGTGAGTGCAGACTTGGGATCTAATTTTCTTGATCCTTCCGACTCCTAGCTTCGTCCTAGCTCAACAACCATTTTCGCGACAACTTCGACAGGTACCGACGTTCACATGATCGCACGTAACCGCGGCAAATTGTGAGTATCAGTATGTGCCCCAATAATTTGAGCTAGCTCGTGGCCACTAGGACCCTGCCTAGGAAGGTTTGCAGGGCAACGAGTTGGGCAAAGCTCCTCAAGTCGCAGATTGCTGCATGTCGTCTGCAGCCATTGGGAGGAGCTACAGGACAAGCTCACAGAAAGCAATGGCGAGGACTCGTCATGAGCTCTCGCTACTGCTGGTGTTGTGAAGACGTATCAGCCCTGCGACATTGGACTCGTCTCACGAGCACTTTGCTTCTTTGCATCTGTGTCTCCCATGATTTGCCTCGACTGCTTTCTGCCAACCTTCGTGTCTATGCGGCCACGGGATCGAAGTCTGTCTGAGTGCTCCTTGAACAGATGCAATTGTGTTTCGATGAGTTGAGCCGGCTTCTAGCCATTACTTTTGCAGTCTTGTAGTGATAATGTACAAGTATGTACAAATGGAGTTTCCGAGCCTGTTTCGTTCCTTGGCAAACTTAGACCGTGAATGGTGCTGCTTATGTAAGCATCTGTACCTCACTCCCAGAAAAGTTTCGTTATAACACAGAAATCGGTCAAGCATGCGGCAACAGTACGGAGACAGATCCGAAACAAAAAACATGCCTCGCAAAGACATGCGACAGGGAGTTGATGGGTTTGAAAATAACTGACAAGAGTTAAGCACAATCTGTTGTCCTCCCGTGAATCTCATTCACGGTTTGCACCCGCGGTTTCGGGAAGAAGGATGCAATAACGATGGTAAGAGCTGTTTCCGACATGGTTGCACCGCCCCGAAGCACGGATTCGTTGTGAAGGATGTTGTGCAGCTTTGACTGAAGTCGAGCCGTTCAGGCCCCCTGTACAGTTGGCACTTAAGCACCCGAATCACGGAGGAAGTTTCAGCACTGTGCCGCTGTATCTTAGTAAACGCTGCCAGGATCTGCTGCAGAAGCTTGCCGATTTGGAAGCGGAGAAAGCAGAATGCCAGCTACCTTAGTGACAGTGAACTTGCTGCGACTCGAACTCTTGCAATGCTTGGGGCTGTAGTACAGCGAAGAACGCTAAATTGCCACTAACTCCACGAGGTATTAACACAGTATACAGTGCAGCTTTGGCCAGTTCAGATGATTTCTCGCTGGTTTCTTTTGGGGTTCGTGTGCTCTCTCCTCATCCCACTTAGCCGAGGCCAAAGTCGCTTGGTGCAAGCGGCCGAGGCGCTTTCCAGCCATGAGGTGCCGAGCAGGGCCAATCACAATCAAGCTAGATGATGAAAGAAGCTTCGAGTTCGCGCGCCTACACAGAGTCTCTTCAACCCAGCCTTTTCACCGGTGCAGGCTGCCTTGCAGGAGGCCCTTCAGGAGGCAACAGATCTCAGCGACGCGGCGGCAGACTTCACGCCGACAGAACAAGCCATTGGTAACACATGTGGATTTTCCCAAATATGTCCGTGGTCTTCGTGCTGCATCCAGCCTCACCATCAAGTCATAGTCGACGTCTCTTGGTTTGGGCGTGGGTAGTGGGCAAGGTGTACTTACATTGTCAGTCTACCGATACAAGTATTTCTAGTGTTTTTCAAGTGTAGCAGTAAGAGGAGGATCGCGGAAAGCGTCAGGAGCAGAACTGGTGACTGCCAGCACTGCTGAGGAGGAGGCTGCTCTTTGTCAGCTCTTCTCAGACATTCAGAAATTCTTCTGGAGGGGTGTAGCATCCAGTGTTGCGATTGTGAGCATCCGAGTTTTGGACCGGTTTCTGTTTTTGTTCCCGTAAATAGTACCGTCGTCGTGAGTATTCTGCCCATGCATGCGGTTGGATCCAACCGATATTTCTCTCACCAGCTCCTGGAGTCGAAATCGTCCCCACGCATGGCAGGTGGCCAGGCTTCGAGAGGAGCTCGCGACCACGATCCAGGCAACATAATGGGAGCCCCTGGACACTGGAGCGCAGCACGAGAAAGCTTCTCCAGACTTAGTCCGGCAGGCCCAGGCGTCATCTCCGACGTGGCATGGCTGCCGAAGTGTTCCTGATGGCACAGGCCAACACCTTGCCTCCTCCATGCTTCCCCCGTCTCACTGTTCATATTGTTATTCCTGTCCTGGCTGGCTTTGCAGAGGAACCCTTCCCTAGCTTTGCAATTTTAGGCAGAAAAATGTACATGCGTTGCGCTGTTCCACTCCGGCGTCCGTTTCGGAGCCGCTGCAGGCAGCAGTTCTTAGAAACCGGCCCAAACCTGAACCCGATCCCCAAGTCCCAGGGACGAGGTGAAGGCCTGTGTGATTTATCCAAGTCTTGTAGGCCTGAGTCGTTGTTGCTACAACCTAAGGCAGATGCAGCAGCTGGCAGAAGAATATCGAGTTGCCATGGCAGACATGGCATCGCTTCGTGCTGGTGACTGGGCCGGCCGGAACTGCTGCGCCTAGCTTTGTTCCCATCTGTCAACTCGCAGCTGTAAGGCTTTGTAAGGGCCCTGAATCCCCCCGCGCATTTTCTTTCCCGTGGTTATCTTCGCAGGCAAGAGTCCAGCAAATCTTGGGGCAGTCCTCAGTGGACATGTTGTGAAGTGGTCTCAGGCTACGAGCAGGAGATCGATGGCTTGCAACAGGAGCTTCAGGATCGAGAAGCGAGCTTTGAAGAGGACTCACACTTCCGCAGCATGTTACAGCTGTGTGAAACAGACCACTCTTACTTTCGCAATGTCTTGGGCAGCTGTAGAAGGTGCAGCAAGTTTCATGTTTGTTCAGTTTTCTAAGATGGTCAAGAAGACAAGCATCCTGTCCATGAGCAGAACAATGACGCAAACGTTGCTTAACAACACCCAGGTAAACTCCTGGAGCCTAATCACGTCGCTTTTGCCCATGAGTTTTCCCCTTGTCCGGAATGTTCGGTTCCAGCACCTCATGCCGTGATTCCATGTCGAACAGGTGTCCAAAAGTCGAGTTGTCGATGCTTTTGCAAGCGGTAGCCTGGTCGTAATGTCGTAATGAGTTGCATATAGCTTCACGCACTGCCAACACAGGTACAGCCATCAAGGGAAGTCACAATACCTGACCGTCTGTTCAGTTTTTCACAGGGTGCAGAAGCATGGCAGTGAGTGTGGATATGGGGTGATATGAGTCTACACATAGAGGAATCCAAAAGCAAAAAAACTTGCACAACATTGTAGGCAATGAATTACAAACTGCAAGGTTCTTCTCGTCTTTTTCAGTTGCCGTTCCACTCCCGCTCATGTAAACACAGATGCATGCCTAGGCGCAGAACAAGGCAGTCACGACACATGGCACATGTCCGAGAATGAACGTGAAAACGGACTTGGTCACATAAAGACACGAAAAGTCGTTGCGTGTTCAGTTCGTGGGCTACGTCGGGTATCATCCAGAATCTGGCCGACAGGTATGCCGGCAAACTCTACAGAATCCCGCACAGAATTCAAAGCTGCTTTCTCCCCACTGCTCCAGGAACGGAAACACATGCATCAGAAGCTGCAGGAGCACAAAGAGACTGTGCGCAAGGCGAGATGGAAGCGTGAATGTTTAGCGCAGTGCCGCAGTCACGTAACAGAGGGGTTGATATGCACGGTGGCTTTTCTCCACAGTACGATTGAACAGCGTCAGCGGCGGAGCGCCTTTTTTTCTGAGCTGGGCAGCAGGTCAATCACATGCAAGACGTGCTTTCCAAACGAGTGGTGCAGCTGGAAGCCAAGCTTCAACAGCAGACATTGGATAAGAAAGATGCCGCCGAGGAGCTTCTTCACTCGCGAGCGCGAAGTCAGTGTTTGTTAGTGTGTTTGTTGCGTCAGGTGTCCCAATCTGGCCTCCCATGCTAATGTTGTTCAGATGCGGTGTGCAGCAGTAGCACTCCGAGCAGCAACTTGACGATTAATTGCCTTGCGGCTTGCCATAGATGTGGATAGCGGACAAGTACATCCGCCGCCTCACCCCCAATGAACACCCCATCGGAAATGAAATGACACATATTGACGGGATTTTATGAGGCCTGACTACGTTTGTGGTAGTTTCTGCCTCATCCTCAACGACACGGGCCCCATAGCCGGTTTCATCGCCACACTTCGTTAGAGGCCTTGGAGACAGCTCTCTGCCCGCTTGCAGGAGCTCGAGCATCTGCGAAAATCAAGCCTGGCTGAGGCCGGAACAGCACAGCAGCTGAAGGCGCCAGTGAACAGCTAGCGCAGCTTGCGGTGGTGTGGGCTGTTCGGAAAGGCAATCGCTGCAGGCCAGCCGATTTGTGCAGAATTGGCCGTAAGTACTTTCGAATAGTCTTGTATCGGCCTGTCTTGGCCGAGTTGCTGTCTGTAGCCACATTCAGATTTCGGTGTGCAGGAAGCAGAAGAACGCGCCAAATCAGCCGAGGACCCTGCCAAAGTCTCTACAAAACGGTTGAATTCAGGTTGTGCCTCGAAGCGCCTTGTCATGTGCAGTTGCAAGATGCCACGATATGTTGGTGATCTTGTTCACGCCATTTTGTTGCTGATGCCGACGCGAAATGACTGATTTGGCATGATTTGGCATTTAGAAGAACGGCGGTGACGATTACCACCAGAACCACAGCAGCAAATACGACGAAAAGTCCCACCACCACCACCACCACCACCACCACCACCACCACCACCACCACCACCACCACCACCACCACCACCACCGAGATACCCTCGCCACGACGGGCGAGAGTCAGCAACCTCAACAGAACGGCAGGGCGGAAGCCCTGGTCCGAGTCATCAAGAACCGGGTGAAGGTCCTCCTGCGGACCGCTTCCTTGCCTATGTCCTGTTGGCCCCTTGCCGCGGAGTTCTCTGCACGTCGCCAGCGCGACTTGGCCCTAGGTGACCGCACAGACGAAGGGTTGCCGTTTGGGGCACCAATGCACATCAAACATAAGAGGTTCGGTGGCGGCGGAAAATATGACCTTGCTGAACGCGGGCGTTCCGGCACCTTCGTTGGGTATTCGGGGGACGTCCGTGGAGGCCGTGTAGTACGTCATGGTGATGGGAGTTACACGACGTCGGTGCATATCAAGCCGTATTTAGTGGACTCCGACGAGCTTGTGGAGCACGGGCCCTTCGAGATGGAGGTCGAGAATCCTGTACGGCGAGTTCGAGGGAAAGCCCGTTGGGCCCAGCTCCTTTGCGACCCTACCAATGATGTTGACCGCAAGGCCAAGGACCTCATGGACCACGAGCGCTACGGCACACATGATGTTGTGGAACTATGGGAGCTTTGGAATGACTCAGGGGAGTGGTTTACAGATGCTTGTGGGTCAATATACCCACGGCGGACAATGTGGCGTCGCTTTGGACTCCGATCGCTTCCCCTTTGCCACGTCCTACTTGGTGAAGGCCTTCAATGAGATCACTGGAGAAAGTGACTTCACGTCCATCCTGGTGACCGAGGATGCGGGAATGCAAATCCACCGGGACGTCCCCAACCATGGTGGTCGAGACAACATTTTACTTCCTCTACTACCATGCGAGCAAGGAGGAGGAGTTTGGATTGAATCGGACCCCGCGGACTTTGATGTCAAGGACGAATGGAGGCAGTTACCAAGGGGCGACTGGCGCCGTGGCAAGGTCTATCACTTGAAGACGGGAGAGCCAATCCACATCAACCCGAGGAAGTTCCACCAAACGGAAGAGTGGCAAGGAAGGCGGCTAGTGATGACTGCCTATACTCCTCGGACTTCCCGGATGAAGCAACCGACTCACGACAAGCTGCAGGACTGCAGGAGTACGGCTTCGCCCCACCTCCTCTATACCACCACAAGTTCCGGAACCTCTACAGCAAGTGATGCTCAAGATGATGGATCTTCAGGAGACGCGGAACCCCCCGGATGCTGTGATGTTTCAAGTGAGTGGGAACCCGGAGGAACGCAGGGAGAAGTCCATCGAGATCAGCCAGGAGTTGCAACAGTTACAAGAGGATGTTCTAGGGCGTCTACAAGAGCGTCGGGAATGGCTACAAGATTTCCTGGCTGAGGAGGAGATCCTTGCAGAGGAGTTCAACACGAGGGGAAGTGTTATTCGGGAAGAGATCAAGGAGATCAATGATGTTCAAGGACGTCGATGACCAAGTGAAGGAAGTGGAGTCTCGGTGCCACGACCTCTACCTCAAGGTCGCCAATGTTACAGACGACCAGAAGATTGGGGATGTCGAGGACTACCTGATCAACCTCAAGAGGGATTTGGACGTCACCCTGGATGTTCCCCTGGACCAGGTCAAGGCGAACCTTGAGGATTGGATTGAGCCGATGAGCAAGGAGCTTTCGAACCTGGAGGCGAAGACGAATGCAATTGAGCCCCGGCCCATGGCGGAAGCGAGGAAGTTGGTGAGCGAAGGATCGTTGATCCTCATCCCGGGCAAGGTTGTGTTCATGGTTAAGCCCCCAGCTCCGGAGACTAAGGCCGAGAAGAAGTCGAAGGGTCCACGTTGGAAACGGAAGGCAAGAATTGTCATTTGTGGCAACATGGCCTCCCAGTCCTTGAATGGGCAAGACTTGTACGCGGCTGGGGCTTCTGTTGAGGCACTTCGCTTGGCGCTTGCACTTGCATCAGGCCTTGGTTGGATCGCTGCCGCCACGGACGTTTCTGCGGCTTTCCTACAAGCCGAGTGGCCCTCAGACCGACCAACTTATTATGGGGTCATTCCCCCCCCCGGATCCTCGTGCAGGCAAACTTGGTTCCGGAGAACGTTGTGTTTGTGGTCAAGCGAGCACGCTACGGCCTACGTGAAAGTCCGGCGCTATGGGCGAACCACCGGACGAAGGTCTTGAAGGAGATTGTGGTTCATTGTCCTGAGGGATGTCTATGGCTGAGGCCTCTGATCACCGATGGTGAGCTTTGGTTGATCCTTTTCCTGCCGACCGGGGCCCAGCGACCGCAGTTGAAGGGCCTCTTGGTGACCTACGTGGATGATCTCCTCTACCTGGCGAAGCGAGCTATTATCCTGTTGCTCCATGGCAAGATTTCGTCTATATGGCCCTGGTCAGACCTGGAGTTTTCGGATAAGGGACTTCGGTACCTGGGAATGGAGCTCAGGACACGTTCACTTTGGGACAAGCGTGCTATGTCACCATATGTCACCAACCTGGTGAGACTGCATGGTTTGGACCCGGACGACAAGGCCGCCCTTCCATGCCCGAGGGAGTGGATCCAGGATGATGAGCAGGAAGCTGAGACCCAGAATTTCAGCGCGGAGGAGCTCACCCGAGCTCAAAGGGTGACTGGAGAGTGCTTGTGGCTGGCTTACCGTACCAGACCGGACATCCTTTATGCCACGAACAGTCCACGAACTACATGGCAGCTATGACGGCAAAGAAGCCTGTGAAGGTTTACAACGTGGGCTTGAAAGTGATTGCCTACCTGAACTCCACGATGAACCTCAAGTTGAACGTCGAGGCAACAGCAGAGCCAACGCAGTCACCAGCAGAGCCAACGCAGTCACCAGTAGAGCCGATGCAGTCACCAGCAGAGCCGACGCAGTCACCAGCAGAGCCGACGCAGTCACCAGCAGAGCCGACGCAGAACAGACCACATGAGGCAGGTTTCAGGGTCGAACTTTAAGGTTTTAGTGACGCTTCCTTTGCTCCGTATGATGCCAAAAGCTTTGGCTGCAGCATGGTGATGGTTGGTCGTACACCAGTGTCTTGGAAGGCTGGCAAGCAGCCCATGATGGCTATGTCTGTCTGTGAGTCGGAGTTGATGGAAGGATCGACATGTGTCTTTTTTTCGGAATCCACTCAGGCGATGTTGGAGGAGGTCTTGCCAGGGTGCAAGGTTCCTACTTTGTACATCGACAACATGGCGGCGAGCAACATTTTGAATGGTTCTGTTGGAAGCTGGAGGACGAGACACTTGAGGATTCGCCATTCATATAATATGTGTTGAATCGGGTGGCCAACAATCAGTTGGTTGTTCAGCACTTGGCCGGAGAGGACCAGCCGGCGGACCTTCCTACGAAGATGCACAGCAAAGCGAGGCTGATGCACCTGTTGGGAGTCTGGAACATGGTTGGCCTACCTGGCCTCTCAGGTTAACAGGCGGTCCAGTGCCTCAAGCTGGGGTGCTTGTTTCTGCTACTGGTGGCTATTCAATCTCTGGCAGTGTCAGCTGGGAAGGACCCACTACGTATGACTGGAACAACCGAGCTCCTTACGATCTTGGTGCTCACGTGTGTGGGTACTGCACACAGTGGCGATCTGGGAGGCGTTGAAGGTGATCTGGAAATGGATGGGGTCACTTCTTTTCGAGTCAAAAACGGCGAAGAAGTTGAAGAAGCTTCGGGAGTTGGCACGAATTGCTGTTGGGACTGAGATTGAGAAGTGGGCGGAAGCCGACATCTCTGAGGAGGCCACCGTCGAGCAGACCATCAATGAGGCGGTGACTACAGTGAGGATGGTGACAGGGACCCCTGCTCCGAGGCGGGAGTTGGAGTCTACTACCCAAGGTTTTCTCGGGAACCGCAGACTCGAGGATGGGAGTCTTCGGGACTACAAGGCCCCCTACGCCTCCTATCCCTCGGGACCCTTCACCTTCACCTACCAGGTCCCGAGACAACAGCGAGAGTGAGCGCGAGCGAGTGATCCATGATGTTTTGGGACTTCCTACGGTCCAGGCGATCAAGCCTCACCCAAGAGGGCATGATGGTGTCGGGTATCAAATCCGACTTGATCCGGAGGCTGGCACCAAGGATGGGTCTCCGGGAGCCACCCTCAGTATCAGCCAACGACACGGCAACTACGCTATATCCTCTATGCCTGGAGGCACCGGCGCCTTTCAGGTCGAACAGCCTTACTCTGGTCGCATTTGGTGACCAGATCCTCGGTTTCCGCTTGGCTGCATGAATGGAAGGATGCGTGATGCTCTTGCCCGCAGGGACAAGAGCAAGGAGGAGTGAAGAAGTCAGGACAACCTCTGTCCGTCTGCGGCTCATGTGGAAACCTCAAACTTTATGCATTGAGATCTTGTTACAAGTATGGCACTCCCTATGATGTACAACCGATAGGTAGAGAGCCATGCTAGCACTGTTGTATAGGCCATCGTGCAATTCCATGATCGGCGGAAGCCAGCAGTCAATGCTTTATGCTTTGAGGAAAAAGTCGTCAATCCAAATTCGATGCCATGGCCCTTTCTGCAAAAGTAGTGCTCCGATCTTCAAGAAGATGACTACCCAACCTGGAGCCTACTTTCAACTTCAGGATCTCAACGATCCACAGGTTGGTATCTCCGGCTTGCTGCAGGAGCTGCTGTCAAAAACAGCGGAGAATTTCCAGGCATCAGAGTCACGCCGGCTGGAAGCAGAGGCGAGGCTGCAGGACGTGTAGGCTGCATGTGGGAGAAACAGTTTTCACGCTGAATGTATCACTATCGGTCTGTTTGTTTGTTCCGCCTTGAATTCAGCCGCAAATATGACGGTTGTGACTTGATTGCGGTCGTGATGTCTCGTGATCTTGGTTCACAGATTTCGAGGTGCTTGCTGGCACGCTGCAACTCAAGGAAATGCCGAAAGCTGACGCATGCGAATGCAAACGTCCTTTCCAGAGTCGTAGAGACGCTGTTCCAAAATGATTAGCATGTCACTGTCTGCAGAATCTACATGATCTGTCCTGCACCACATCACAGGCAAGTCTCACATGTTGTCCAACATGGTGTCATGAGAACATATAACAGTCACAGGCACAGGCACGTTTGGAAGGAAGGAAGTCTCTGATCGTTTCAGCTGGCACCATGACCCTGCACAGTCTGAAGCTTTTCAGACGGAGGGCGTGGCCCACGAGCTCAAGCAGCGAGTCGTTCAGCTCGAGGCGCAGCTCAAGAGCAGGCCGCCGGCCGTCGCATTTCAAAGACGAGTAGTGGGCGGTGAAGGTGATGATGCTGAAGGGCTGAAGGCGATCATGATTTTGGTGATGCTGGTGCCTGTGCTTGTGGTGATGACGGGGAGGACATACGGTACGATTGCTCGCGAGAAAGTTGGAAGCAAGACGGCATTGAAATTAATCGCACCAAGCAGAGAGCACAACTCAAACCGCACGGCCAGTGCTGGGTGCTGGGACCATGACGGCTGCTGACACGTTCCTACAGCAATAATGATACGACGACGATTTCGACTACTACGACGACTACCACTACCACTACGACAACTGATGCTAATGCTGATGCTGCTATTGCGAGGGCTGCTACTGTGCTTCCGCAATGGCTACTCCTTGCACCTCTCACCACGACGACGACTGCTACGACGTCTTGTACGATCCTGCTGCCGGTCCTGCCGTTTCAGCGCGCTGCCACTATGACATTGTCCGCTCTCCTCGTCGTCGTGGAAGTGGCAGTAGCAGCAGTGGCAGTGGCAGTAGTCGTCGTCGTGGTCGTAGTACTGGTCGTCGTCGCGGTAGTAGTAGTAGTAGTAGTAGTAGTAGTAGTAGTAGTAGTAGTAGTAGTAGTAGTAGTAGTAGTAGTAGTAGTAGTAGTAGTAGTACTGGTAGTGGTAGTAGTAGTAGGAGTAGTAGTAGGAGTGGTAGTAGTAGTAGTAGTAGTAGTAGTAGTAGTCGTAGTAGTAGTAGTAGTAGTAGTAGTAGTAGCAGCAGCAGTAGCAGTAGCAGTAGTAGTAGTAGTAGCAGTAGAAGTAGCAGTGCTACTACTGCTGCTACTAGGACTAATACTATTACTATCATTACTACTACTACTACTACTACTACTACTACTACTACTACTACTACTACTACTACTTCTACTTCTACTTCTACTACTACTACTACTACTACTGCTACTACTACTACTACGACTACTACGACTACGACTGCTGCTACTACTACTACTACTATTACTACTAATACTTCTACTACTATTACTACTACTAATACTACTCCTACTACTTCTGATGCTGCTCCTGCTGCTGCTCCTATTACTACTTGTGCCGCTGATGTCCAAGCTGCTACTGCCACTGCTACTAGCACGAGTAGCGTACTTGTACCAGTCACTAGTACGAGTTACGACTGCGACTACTAGTGAGCTGGTAGCACTGCCGCCCCTGCTGTCAAGTCGCAAGACATCTCGCCCAAAGAGTTGACTCTGAATGTGCGTGTGCTATCTATATATACATATATATATATACATATATGTTTGCTACATTTGGCTTGCAAATTCTCACTAAGCTCGCGGGAAGTGTTGGCAATCTCCGTGACTAGGTCAGATCGGCCAGAAGCCAGTCCTGGCGAGTGGCGGGGCTATATGTTTTGCAGGATTTGGGTCTCCTCCTGGGAAGTTGAAGTGGATTCTCCATGGACGGGGCATAGCTGCAACTCATGTTCCGGAACAACTATCCCGAAGCGAGCAGCTGCGATGTGCAGTTGCTGTTACCATGTGCAACGAGTGTGCCCCTGAGCATGCCGGAGCGTATTCCTCAAGCTGTCTTCACTGCAGTGTTCGACACCTTGGAAGACCTTTTTTCTTGTAACAAGGCCGATGGAGCCCGACGTGGATCGTGTTTCGCTGGTCAGGCCATTTGTGTGTTGCTTCTCCGTGGACGAGTCAGGGCCTCACACTTTTATCATGCTTAGACATGCCTTGCCAGAAAGTGCAGAGATTTATTCTGCGCCCACTACATGGGCAGGAATGCGCCGACTTTGCCCAATACACCATTGTTGGAGACGCGCAAGGCCTTGCTCCATCCATGTGGTGCAAGTCGGAGTCGGAGTTGAAGTTTGGGGACCGTAGTGGTGGATTCATAGATGTTTCGGAAGCCGAGTGAATGCGAAGCTCGACTAGTATCAGACAATAACCGTAATGTGAACCTTTCCTCGTGCAGTCTCGCTGCTGATTCAGGAGAGCTAGCAATTCCGCAAGGGCTTAACTCTTTGGGCTAGCGGCTAGGTCTTCTCTTGCGTCTTATGTGGTGAGTCGTCTTGAGTTGCTGTCAAGTGTTGAAAAACATCTCCTTCGTATACTGGATGTACCGACAGTTCTCCTGCTATATGTATTGGTTTGCACATGCTGCCACTTAATCTCACGTTGTTCCACGACATCAATCAATATTGAATCGCGAGTACTGCGCGTTGCTTGGCTTGTGGCTGAGGTGCTGGATGCTCGCCGGATCTCCAGCCATTCTGCCTTGGCGTCGCAGGTGCAACATGACAGCATGTGTGACGATTGCAGATCGGGGAACTTTCAGTCCCGGTCCTTGCTCTTGACCGCAGCTTGACCCTGTGCCAAGTTGGTGACATTATCGAATTTGGGGGCTTGCTAGCGACTAGAACACACAGTTCCAGTGTCATTTTTATGTTACACGGGAAGTGCAGAACGGGCGCCTATGTCGTCCTGCGACCTCAAAGCTTTCTGGCCGTGGATGCAACTTGGGAGCAGCAGACGTTGTCAAAATGACCCTAACAAGAAGCTTCCGAACCACCGGGTGCCAGCCTTTGGACATCTCCTGCATTTGATTGCGCAAGTTTAGGGATGCGCCTGTGTTGATTGCACTGTGGTGTTGTTATTTGCTGACGCGTTGGGCCCCAGCTCAAGTGAGTGAGCACCTGTCCCCGCTGCGACGGCTACCACAGCAAAAGGAACTCAAGCAGAGCAGTCAAGAACACAAGCGCTCTTGCCACTTAGAGGCGGTTGACGTCGCGAAGATGTAAGCGAGAATCGCGGATCGTTGAGGGCTCAAGTTGCCCAAGGTTTCGACCGAAAGCTACGCCAGCTGATGGAATATCCCTGAATCTCCGATCGCTTGGAAGCGTGGTCATGCACTCCTTGGAACTGCACCCAAACCTACGAAAGCAGATGGAGTCAGTCGAGCGTTTGAGCAATCAATTGGGACTCGATTCACTCGACATGGCCACAGCGCGGCCGCTAGGCAGCCCTTGAAGCCTCAGGCTGCAGGTGACCCAGCAATGACCAGCACTCCAGCAATGAGAGGTGTTTGCACCAAAGCTGTGCCCAGCACCCAATAATGACTGCAGCCTCCATGTATTTCCAGCTGCATCATCTGATGTTATGCATCTTTCTGGTTGACACATCCTGACTCAGACTGGTTGTGGGATGATGTGTGAAACAAGCTGGACACAACATGTGGGTTTGTTCAATTGTTCCTTGCTTAAGCACCCTGGCGCTGCGGCAGGACAACTCATGCTATGGTATCGCTGCGAAAGGAAATACATTGAATGCATGCAAACGCTTTTCCTCAACCAGGCCGTGTGCAGAACCCACAGTTAGCTCTTATGTCCCTACTAGCCTCCTGCAACCTGTAACCCTGCGACTGAGAATTTGACAAACAGAGAGAGGATGGAGATAGAAAGCGAGGGAGACATAGTATATAGGACCTGTGCCTTAGGCTCCCAGCAAAGCACATGAAGCAAAGCAAAAGACAGAGAGAGAGAGAGAGAGAATATTTTGGCTCGTGTGGTTCAAGGCCTGAGCCCAGAAAGTCAGAAAAGGTCTAACCAGGGGGACAGAGTGAGTGAGAGGGACTGCGCACAGCCGCTTCTCAATCCGACCCTGCGTGCACTTCTACTAGTTTGCCGATCTACGCGCCGTCACCATCCTCGCCCTGAACCGTGACTTCGGGGGGAACAAAGAACGAGGGTGGCCATGCGCCGAACATTCGGGACTACCCCAGCCCTCGCCAACGACGTGATCGGCGACCCTACAGGACCTCATCTCCCATTGCACGATCCGCCGCAAGCACGTGGTGGGAGGAAAAGAGCATCCTCGGCAAGATCGAAGCACTACTTGCAGAACGACGACCTAGTTCTCCTCGCGGGGGACTATGACTATCACTTCCAGAAACATGGACAGGATAATATCTGAGTCTGCAGCACCGGGTGCAGAACCAATGGAAGCAACAGGCTCACCCCAGGGCGGACCGAAACGAGCCCGTGAAGCCGACAGTTCAGGCGATGCACGTGAAAGTGGGGACGCGGGGAACCAGCCCTTCACCCTGGCACTGCTCCAGCAAGCTTTGCAGGTCAACCAACAGCAGATCACCAACAGCTGGCAGGAGAGCTTAGAAGGCCTAGGCAGGCGTGTTGGAAAAGTGATGTCATGACCGACAGGCACTGCAGTATGGAGCACAGTGTCAAGAAGGTGAGCGACTCCTACGACGACATCAAGCAGCGCCTAGCCTTGCTAGAGGGCAAGTTCGCTACTGCAACCTTCTCCACTTCAAGCACCCGAACCACGGAAAGCGGGGGACAAGACAACGGCTCCCGACCAGCAATTGTGGTCGGTGGTTGGGTTGCGGATCAAAGTGCCAGTGAAACTTACTCTACGACTGGTAAAAGAGCACGTTGCAAGTCTCGAGTTGGACCTGGACCTTCAGGACGCTTTTGTGCCTGGCCTCTGACGTGGTTTTGCTATCGTCCGGTTTGCAACCGTCCCGGGGAACCTGACTCCGACTTCAGACGTCGCATTCGTGATGCCCTACGCCGTATTCGTGGAGCAGAAGTGATCACCGGTGAACGACCTCAAGGGGGACATCGATACTTCTGGGCCGCGATGAGCGAAAGCCCTGAACGTAGAAAGAGGGCGCAGTTCGCAGGAAAGGTGAAACGGCTGGTGCTCGAAATGGATGGAGATCGCCAACGACTGGACGTCGAGTTCAGCACAGGCAACATCTGGTACGGCCAGGTTCGAGTCGCTTCCGCAGTCAGCACTGCCCCCTCAGGGGCGACTTCCGCTGCCACTGGTTGGATCCACTTGGGGAATTTGGCCAGACAGATGGGTGTTTCCGAAAGCTCACTCTCAAGTAAATGGGATGAGCTCCGCAAAACCCTGAGCTGAGAGGACGAGGTTCTGTTTCACCCCAGCCCCCTTTCGGCTGGGGAACTGCATGTGATCACCTGGAATGTGCGGGGACTGACACCGGACCAGATCCTCGCGCTACTCGACAACATGGAATTCAGCCCTTTGCAAGCAACTTTGTGCTGCTCCTCCAAGAGGTGATAGTACTGCTGGTAAACACGCCTCCGAGAAGGGGGACATCCAAATCTTCGTGGGCAAGCGAGACTCGGAATGGCGGGGGACCGCCGTTGCCCATACGACACAGCTACAAAGAAGTCGAACAAAACTAGTACAATGCGGAACCGGATGTATGCTCAGGGACGACAAGAACAATATCTTCGCCATGTCGGGGCACATGCCACACCATGCCACACTCCAGCAAGCCGAGGAGATTACAACAGAATGGCAACAACAGCTGCATGAGAGCGAAAAAGCAGTCCTGGGATGGGATGCCAACGAGACTTTCCACCCTGGCCTCCAGCCCCAAAGCCATCGTTCAGAATCCGGCCGTGGGGAACAGCTGCTAGTATGGTTGGTGACAGCAAACTTGCAGCTCCCACCGCAGAAGCTGACCGAATATACCTTCTTCCCGTATGACACCGAAATGCGAAGCCGACGTCTCGACTATGTCTGCCTCAAGCATACAGTCGCAACCCACGGAACGGTGCTGCACCTTCGCGACCTAGCTCGAAGCGACCATGAACCTGTGCATGTCACCGCCGAAATACGGTCCGGAACAAAGGAGAAACAGCCCAGACAGCCCAAACCTTGGGGGACCCGCCAGCTCCGCCACTACAAGGAGATTGACAACATCATTGCGAACTACTCGGAACGCTCTGCCGACCCCTTGCTGGACTTCGCTGAGATGGCCGTCGCAATCACCAAGCCGGGCAAACCGAGCGAGGCATACCGTGAAAGTAAAGGGATCCGCCAATGCCGCCGGGAGATCCTAACCATGCCACCAGAAAATCCGCGCAAACAGGCGTGGAAGCAACTCCAACAATTCCGCCGCGGGGAACAAAGCTTGGCTGAAAGAAAAGCTGCACCTTGCCGCAAGGGCTACTGGAAGTCCAAAAAGGCGGTGGGCAACGACGGCTACAACAACTCCTGGGAACTTGGGCTGCGTTCGCAAGAACACTTGCGCGAAGACCTGCAAAAGTACTTCAACAAGATCTTCTGCAAACGAGATGTACGAGAGGTTCGCCTACAAATAGTGGAAGTTCTAGAACGAATATCACGACTGTGCAAGAAAGCCAGCTGGCACCCTTTCACAGAAGAGGAGCTGACCACCGTCAGAAAACGTTGGAAGAACGGAAAATCGTGTGGGCCCGACAGCATCTCCCATGAAGCTCTCAAAGTCCTCGGGGGTCGAAGTTTGGCGAAACCAACTCCTCTACATCCTGAACGACTTCTTCTATGTGGGGAACCTACCAAACTCGGTAGAACGTGGCATCACCGTCCTGCTTGCGAAAAAGCCATCCCCCAGCGACTGGGGGGACACAAGGCCGATAACCTTGAGCTCCGTGATCCTCAAGACCTTCTCGCAGCTCATTATCCAAGGGTCGCCGAATCATGTGCAGCTCCCATCAAGACTTCAGTGGGGCCGACGACACAGACAAGGCGTGGAGCTCATCCTGCTTCTCCGAAAGGTTTGCCGTACTGCTCCCCGTACCGCCCACGACTGGGGCATCCCGATGTTCCTGGCCAAACTGGATACAGGCAAGGCTTTTGATTCGGTCTACCAAGAGGCCATTGCTGAAGAAATCGCCCGCGACGTGGGGGAAGCCGGGGGACAGCCATGGGAAGCCCGAGCCTGGGTCACTCTGTTGCATGCCCAGCACATCTGCATCACGTTTCGTGGAAAGACCTTCGAGCTCGACCAGTCCAATGGAGTCCGACAAGGCTCTCCCGATAGCCCGATTGCCTTCGGAAGAACCGCGGCACGAACACTGGACGACGCCCTGACCGAAGCCAGTTCTCGGAAACCACAGTCCGGGGAACAGCCACCCGAAAACGGCGGCAGCTACATGGACGACACCTACATCTGGACAACCTGTGCCCGACACATGCAGAAGATGCTCAACTGCCTCAACAACAACTGCCACCAAATGGACTGGACATCCACCCGGAGAAGACGGAAATCGTCGACAATGATGGCGGCGGACACGTCTTCGAGATTGGGGAACAACGGGTGACAAGCAAAGGGCCCGACCACGTCATCCGTGCACTTGGCAGCCCCCTCAGCTTCCACGGGGTGCCCTCCACTATTGTTGCTGAGATGCAGAGCCGAGGTAGGCAAGCGTTCGCCAAGCACCGGGGAACTTTGATGCCAGACGCCCTGATCAAGAGCCGCTTGCAGATGCACACCATATTGGTGCGCCAGTCTGCCCTCTGGGCATGCGAAACATGGCCATGCCTTGAATTTGTCCTTAAATCCGTCAACAGTATTCAACTACTGCATGCTCGCCGCCTGATGCGAATCCCCCGGAGTCACGGGGAACCGTGGCTGGAGTGGAACGTGAGGTGGATGAGACGTGCACGTGTTATGCTGCATCGGTGCGACATAGAGAGATGGTCAACCTATGTCCTCCGGATGATATGGGGACTTGCAGGACATGTAGCTCGAGGTGATCCAGTTGCAGCAGAGATGCTGAAGTGGCGTAACTTGCAGTGGTGGCACATCGAGCAGACCATCCCCCCACATGGGGGGGACAGCGCCGTTCTCAACGTTTCAACCCGCACCTGGACGTCGAAAGACAGCTGGCGGCCATTGCCGGGGACAACTGGCAAAACCGAGCCCAAGACCGAGAAGGTTGGACTCTTCTGTGTGACAAGTTCATCGGTTCATCGAGAAGTACGACGTGCCTTGGGCAAGCGGGAACCAGCTCCAGATCGACAACCTGGCACCCGATGGAGCACATGGCTACCAGCGACAGAAGCCGCCACGCACCCGACGAAAGCGACGAGCGATCTGCCCGGGGGACATGTAGATGAAGCTCAGCATGAATGAGGTGAAGACGTGACCCCCCCCAGACCTCGACGAACAGTCGGAGAACACGCGAAGTGAACAAAAGCTGGTGCCTTATGCTAGCTTGAGGAACCTACATGTTACCGAGCAGTTCCAGTACATCTGTTCGCAGTACATGGAAAGCTGAAGTACATCGCGAGAGCATGCGCAGAGTCTAGATCACCGCCTTGCGTGCCTTGTACCAGCTTCGCAGGAACCCGACTTCAGGCCTCCGACCTTGCCGCTTTGCCTCAAATGAACTACACGTACATGTACATGCTCTTTGTCATCGTGCCCATGATTGCCCACAGCCCGATTCTGTGCTACACCTACGTTCTAACTCGCTACCCTACCTTGCCAATTACAGCCTCGAAGTAAGAGAAACCTAGTGAGACACGACACGACAGCGCCGTCGCACCCTGCACCTACCAGAAGCAGGATGTTTCGGACAACGTTGACAGCGATGACACTGTGGACCTGCTGCAGCGGACCTCCGCCCCAACAGGGGAACATTGGTCCAGGCCAGCCGCAAGCACACGACTACACAACGTGCCACAGCAGCCCGGTGGACACCCTGCGGGAGGACAGCTGCCGCAGCCTCCGTGGACACCACCGTACGCAGCAGCACCGGGACAGCAACACGGGCATCAACCGATGGCCTCGACATCCTTCTCGTGGCAGGCTACGCATGCCACCGTGAACGGAGGATATGTGACGAGTTTTGGAGGCTACTCAGCGGCTACTCACTTGACAGGGGGCGACCAACCACAGCTACCACACCAACCCCAACAGGGGGGACAACTACCACTGCCACACGCCCCACCTGTGCAACCAGCAGGGGGGAACACACATGGTAGCAAACCCTCCACAACCGATGCAACACCAGGCCCACATGCCGTCACAGCCACCAGCTCAGCAAGTGCCGGTCACATGCCAACAACAGCCAAAAACCTTCGCAAGACTCGGCACTGTGAGGTACGCCCCCCCGTACGACCCGGCGACTGGCCCAAGGAACTCTGCACCATCGACACCCCAGCAGACACCACGAACGAACCCATCCTACGACCTCGTGAATGATCCGTGCCACGACGACTCCGACCACGATGCAACACCACAGCAGACACCAGCTGTCTCAGCCCCAGTGGCTAACGTGCGAATCCCAGCAGCAGGGGACACACCACCCCAGGACCAACAGCCCACGACCGCGCAGGATCACAACTGTGACGTTGCAACCGCGATGCCTGCCGCCCACATGCCGGAACCCAGCACCAAGACAAGGTTCCGACAGCCACCTGCCAACAACCCACGACCGGAGTGGCACCTTGCCCCGGACTCCAAAGCACGGAGCAGCGAGACACAGCTACAGCAAAAGACGACCGCGAGCCACGACCCGACGAGAAGCCAGCAGCAGGACAGAAGAGTGACGAGAGCGGAAGCACCAAAGAGGAGACTGCAGCCACCACCACAGCAAAAGCCGACCAACAAACCCAAAGCCAAGCAACACCGGCAGCTGACCCGACCACAGACCGCAGCAACAACACATCCAACGCTGAAGGACTGACCCCTCCAGAGGACGGCACAACACACTCACAGGAGCAGCATGCCACTGACACCACAGAAAGCACAGCACCGGCAGACCCAACAACACAGCCACAGTGGGGGGAATTTGGTTGGGGGGAAGGCCAACAACAACCACAGTGGGAGGCCCCCGGCGAAGTGCAGCCAGCGTGTCCAGAACAAAGCCATGAAGCACGTGTACAAGCAAAGCAACAAACGGGGGAACTTCCAGAGATGCCCCCCCCCCAGGACCAGCAAGGACCTGTGGCTGGGGAATCCTGTACGTGCCGCAAAACATGGAGCCAACACCCACATCCCCCACAAATACACACCTAAGCACAATAGGGGAGAAGGAGTACAACCTCCAGAAAGAGCGTTACAAGGAGATGCTCAACCGGCACGTGTACCGCGACGACCCCACGACCAGGGCGATGCCAAGTGACGTACCGGAACCACATTCACAACACCCACCACCACAACCACCGAGTGCCGAACATTCGCAGCAAAGCACGCAACACACAGAAGCTGAAGGTAGCCACCAGACGGTGTCACGACCCGGGGGGACCATACCCCAGCAACCAGCTGCTGCTGACTCCACAGACAACACCCACACTCACACCACCGCGGCAGCAGCAGACCACGCTGATGAAGCACCGCGCAGTTACTACCCAAAGCCAAATCAACAACCACAAGCCACGAGCCAACCGGCATCACAGACACAGCAACAACCACAAACTCCGACTCAACAAGCCGTCCACCCGGCACACCCTACCAGCAACACCTTCCACAATGCGGCATTTGTGGACACACGCCCATTGCGTGGCCGACCAGGAGGCGACGCTCCGCAGCAAACTCAACCACAGCCAGCACAGCACCGACCGGGGGACACACCGCTGGCGGCGCTACTACGAGATGGGCGCCGCATCGGCCATGCAAATACGACAGCGCCAACAGCACAGCCGCAGCGACCCTCCGAACAGGGGCCCACACAACCACCACCGCCATCGCCGCCCAGCAGACCAGAACCAGACAGCCACAGCTTGATGCATCCCACAGCCACAACAAAATACCACTTGACAATAGCCGGGGAACCACACCTGTAGCCACAGCTCTCGATCCCACAACAACACAAGCAACAGCAGAGACGTCAACTCCCCTCCACTCCTGGCAAAGAGTGGAACAACACCTCGTGGCGATCCGCCGCATCGCGGAAAACTAAATCGTGCAAAGAGCAACCAGCGCACTCGTCGATTTGCTGGTGGGCAGTCAAACTGCAGCAGAGTTGGACGCCATGGATGATGAGGCAGCACATGGCCAGCTGGGGGACAACACACAGGCAGCTCGAGCATCCGGCAGCGGGGGACCGAGCATGGAACCCCAGAGCACCACAGAGGTGATGACAGCAGCTCTGAAAGCAGCCAGGATCTACGCAATGTCGGTAGAGTACAACTTACAACAACAGACACATGTGTAACGTACTCTACGGTAGCACCCATGGTAGCCGACCTCCTGCGATGGCTGGAATCGATCGATCAGACCAACATCGCGGTCCACATCCAGCTGCCACCAGTCTTGACACCGCTTCGCGAAGTCCTCAACAGCATCCTTGACGGGGGGACCCATACGAATTGGGCGCAGCTAGTGGCCGTGGGGGATGCGCTGGAAGTGTTGGTTGCAGGCCAAGTTCTTATAGCCACCCTGCCGACGTAGTGACCCGACACAATGGGGGAACCAAGAGCAGCCTGATGACGGGGGGACAACCTGTCCCAGCATGGAGCCACGCGGTGGACGTCATCCATGCGATCCTGTCAGAGTTGCCGACGTACCCGACGGCGTTCCTCCCGACTGTGCAAGAGGCGGCCATGAACCTTGTTCGGGGGATCTCGCGTCTGATCCCCGAGGAGCAACTCGGCCAACCAGGACAACCATGGTGGCAAAGTGACAGACACCATGGCCTGGGGGACATAGCCATCGTCGTCGCAGAATCCTGGCAATACACCTACATGAAAATGGCATGTGAAAGCTGAACTTGGGGGGACCGAAGCCTCGATGTGGCCTACACGATTCCCAGCACCAAGCACTGAGATGACGAGCTCGCCTCCTTCTGCCTGCGGTGTACAGAACTAGCGAGTTCGATGTGTGTGCAGCAGAATCGGGGGACCCTCAACCTCCATAATCCACCGTATGTCGTTTTGCAACTCTGTGTGCGTTTTGGGAACATACTTTAGCTGACAACCTTGATGATCGAAAGTCGAAAGCTGCCACCGAAAGGCCCTCAGTCATGGAACCCCGTTCCTCGAAGATGCTCTTATTCTTATCTGCTGCTTGCTGAACAAGGCCGGGGGAACATGCTGTGTGAGCCTGCGTAGACCAACGATGTAAGAAGGTCCACAAACTCGTTATCCTATGTTCCAGTAAATACTCTGTGTTGTACCTCGCTGCCCCATGATTGTTTCTATCAGTGGACTTTTAATGTACTGTAATGATCTCAGCAGATGGCGAGAGGACAGTCCCTGAACTGAACACAGGCTCTGTCACCATGCAGATGTCACACAGTCGTGAGGATCCCTCTTCCTGTTACAACCAACCCAATGTTTGGCCCGAACTGGTTAGCTTAGACACGGCTACGATGCATCTGTGTGCGAACTATACATTGCCAAGCTGGGGGACCAAAGCAAGGACCATGCGTGCTTATAGCTCTGTACTCTTACTGCAGCGGCTGCTTAAGAAAGACCCCTTGCGATGGGAACCCAGGTCTCACACCACAAACTGCACTGCTCGGATACGCTTGGGAACCTGTGCCTGCTTGCTTACAGTAGATGTTGGTTGTTTTCGCTGAAAGGGCCGGGGGACCATCCGTACATAAATTGGCCTGCACTGCACGTGTAAAGTGCCGACAAAACCAGACCTGGTGGTGACGAAAGTAGTCCGGAATTGTTGTTTGGATGTATTTTCTTTGTGTCCGATACCCACTGATCATGCTGGCTGCTGCATGTGTTTACAAACATCGTGGAGGATCCCAGATTTTCTTTAGTCCAATATATTACACTGGCCTAAACTGGGGGAATCCACGTTTTCTCACGCCCTGCCGAAAGCCCCGTAACAAACGGGGGGCCCTCGAGGCCGGGGGGCCTGACCAGCCCCTTAAGCCCTGCAGAAGAAGAAGAGAGAGAGGGAATGCTTGCACTGCTCGGTCCTCCAGCCCAGTCCGAGAGTGAGAGAGGCCTGGTGAATGAAAGAGAGAAAGGGAGAGAGTGGAAGTATATACAGAGTTGCTTCTACTGGAGTGCTGCCGTCATACATGCTAGTGTTGCTTGCTGCATGCTGATGCTGCTTTGCTAAGAAACTTGCTGGCCATGTCTTCCGCTGCAAATCCCCTGCATGAGTTCTGCACATCCTGCCCCTGTGTTGAGGATCAAGCATGTCCATGTCGTGTGCGTGTTCTTGTCCAGTGGGTGCTTGCATTATCTTGCAGTGCCGGGCCACGATCTTGTGACAGCAGAAGCATGCTTCAGGGTTTCAGGCTCATCATCTTTTGGAAATTGTCGGAACTAGGACGGCCGTGTTCCGACGTTTCAATCAACTTATCTGCTAGGCATCTTGATAGACTGTGAGGAGCAAAGACGCCATTGCATTGGAAATCGGCTTTCGGTTATGGGCTCACAGCCAAGCTCCACGATCGCACCGTTCATAGTTGAGTCAGCAGCTAGCGACTTTTCACAGTCTGGGCTTTCCCGGGCGTGCGACGTGTTACCATAGTTGCCATGTCAGCTTTGCGAACACCTGCAGAAGTTTCGGGATTGAAGGCGGAGGCTGGTTCGCTTCGGGTGAGGACTGAAGGGCCGAGTCTTGCTTCGGCCAGTCTCTGGCCGCGCCTTTTGTAAGACTGCGGCCTTGGCATTGCGGAGTCACATATTCCCCAAGTTATCCACGTCTATCCGCAGGCAGCGTATTCTCGCTCTTCCACTGGTTGCCACACCGAGCTCTCATTCCCAGAATAGCCATAGGCCGTCATGACCATGGTTCTGCGAGTAGTTCTGTTCGGGCTGATATGTTCGAGAATTTGTAGCTGGGCCAAGAGACCCCAAATTCCCTCGCACTGGAGTTGCCGTGGGCAAGTCGATTGGCCGTCTTTGCGGATGCTTAAAGAACAGGTCGGCCGCATGATGGAGCATGAACTACTCCCAGTGTTGATACTTGAAGGAGGCTCGCGGAAGTACTGGGACTTCCTTTTTCAGGAAGACTGCAATGCTGCCCGATGGACAGTGGAGTTGCTCTATGCAGAGCTGGTCATGATCCGTGCTGGGTTGAGCAATGATTCGGCCGAGGCGTTGGGATCTGCTGGCATGGGCTTCAACCATCCCTTTACGATATTTTTCCGTGGGAGCCATCCGAGCATGGACCTTTTCCACGAACTCATGTGGGGTGCCGGCTCTGCTTGGTCTTCGGTGAGCGCTGGTGGCTGGGGCACTTTTGCGCTGCTCGGAAGAATGGCTAGAGCATTTCAAGCCTATCTTCAGAAACAGGGCAAGCCAGCAAGCGAAGCTGTGCAGCAGGCCATCAAGACTCTTCAGCCGTCCGAGACTAGGCAAACCATTGCTGCCGGGATTTCCAGGATCTTCACCGTTGCAATGGTAGGATTGCAACAGGCCAACACATCAGCCCCCTGGGAGCACCGCGCAGCAGCCGCCGCCGCTGCTGAGACGTTGTTGCGAAAGTGGTCCCGTGCAGCTACATTCTCGGGCTTGCCGCCTTGGCAAATCCTGGGATCCCTGTTGCTTGATGCACAGGCACCCAAGTTCTGGCAACTGCTAGATGCCATCCTCCTGCCTGACGCAGTCCGGATTTGTCTCCCTCAAGTCCTCGGTTTACAGTCCTCGTGCCGGTGCAGGGCAGGGCATTGCTCCAAGTTTTGGGGCACAGACCAAGCTCTTGCTGCTGCTGCCGGCAACCACAGCAACAAGGCGGGAGACTTGGCCATCTTTCGAGTTGTGCCGAAGCGTGGGCTGCTGAATGACAACTTTCGAAGCAAGTGTAACGTCACCTGTCCCAAAGCTGTCCTGGGTCTTCTTGGAGAGGTATCAGAACTCTTTAAAAGGCAATCGGCCCCTCGCGCTCCCTTCATGTACATGGATGTCGGGGCAGCACTGGGGGACTGCATGATGTCTGCGTCCTTCCTGTTTTCGGAAGGTCGCTTACGAGGCATAGCCTTTGAGGCTATACCTGCATGGGCAAGCCGTATGAGGGAGACTTTCCGCATCAACGACATCTCCGCAGAAGCACTCCCCAACAGGACACAAGTGCTGGTCAGAAGTGTCTTCCTGGGCAGTGAAAAGTCGAGATCGGTGTACATGGCAGGTGGTTGGGGCCTTGGTGGTGCTAGTGGTGCAACAGATCCTGGATCTGTCGGATCATTCCAGCCGCTCACTTTGAGAACCTCCACCTTGGATGACGAAGTTGCCATGCACGGCATTGGTCGGGTCGACTTGCTGCACATCTTTGTGAATGCTGTCGAACCAGCAGCTGGGAATTGTTGCATCAGCGCTTTGTGTTCTAAGTCTGTAGGAATAGATAGTCCTTCGCAACGTGGCGGTTGAGAGCCTCATCAGTTTGGGATGCAAAGCAAGAACAAAGGCAGTTCTGCAGGGTGCTACGCGCTTGCTGCAGCAACACCGGGTGGGTTGCGCCCTCGTCCAAACATACCTCAGACAGGACATCACAGGTCCTGTTGTCCGAATTCTCCGCTCAAGTGGCTACACAGTCAGCAATTACAGTTATGCGATTCCAGAGAATGCTTTCCAGCTAGTGGCCGCGAGTCCAGCTGATGCCCTTGCCCTTGCAGGGGGATCGGCGTGTGGCAGACGGTTTTTCCAGTGGTGGCTCGGTGAAAACCGTGAGATTGCGAGTGACGGTACAAGAGAGAAAGTCGAGACAGACAGAACTCCACGCAGGGGCGTGCCCCTAAGACCCGCGAAAGAAAGACCGACACAAGGGCAGAGTTGCAGCCGATTAAACAGCACCTGCATCCACACAAATCCCACCCAGTCAGGTTGGGAGCTCAGAGCTTGACCAATGACATCATGGACCGCATATTCGGAGTTACACATATCAACATCTCCTTGGAAGCGATGCGAGTAAGGATGCGCACAATCCATGGGATGTCGAGGTCGTCTGCGCGAAGCTGTGTTTGCTAGTGCCACGCATGCCGGTTGTGGTCACCGTGTCACCGTCGGTTTCTTCGTTATCCTCCTGGGACGGCATAGCGTTTGCGTTGAAACGGGGAGAGCAGGGGGAACCCGCGGGCCTCTGCCTCGGTTGCCCCTGCTCTAGGGCCGTGCTGCCTTCGCGACAGAGCTCCAGCCCCTTGAGCCTTGGGCACCGTGCACCCATGTTTGCATATCTCCCGAGCGTGGGTCTTGATAATGCTGTGAACTGGAAGATTCACTCGTCGAAGATGGCTTTCTTGGCTTTAATTCTCCAGGCCATGTAATGACTCTCTCGCAACGTTGCCCATCCATGTATACTACCTGTTCAAATGGTCTTTCCACTGCAGATACTGTTCACAGTCAGCCAATCACATTCCCGTTCGACTTCTATGGCTTGAAGACGTTTGAAGGCACGTGAAGCAATTCCCTCTCCAGAGTTCTGACGCAGCCACGCCGATATCAGTTGATGAAAGCCCATGTAAGCCTGAGAAGCATCTGCAAGCCAGCTAGAACAGCCGTTCCGTGGCCGGGGCTTGTTTCCCAGACCATGGATCCGTCATTTGCGCCATGGAGACCTGGATGTGCGAACCGCTTCTTGTGACACCCGAGCGAGCCTTGCTGGAGCAATTGGATGAATCGGAATGTGTCAGGGTTTCGGTGGGCAGTCAGATTCGGCTTTTGAAGTATAGCGAGGTCAGATGTTTCAGTGCCGGTGCAGGTCGACAGCGACGTGTTGCATTGGCGTCGTTCACTGCAGTACTAGTCACCACAGTAGCATCATTTCCTGTCCAAGTTCGGACACAGGAGCGGCACCCACCTTCGGTTTTTGACGCTTGACACTCCAGCACGCAGACCGCATATACAGCTTGCATATATATATATATATACACACATACATACGTATGTACCTACATACATACATACATACATACATACATACTCGTGTGTATGTGGGCATGGTTGCGCATACATGCAGGAAACCCCATCATGTGCGAGACTGCTCTATCAGGGGTTCCCAGTGAGGAGTTTCTAGTTTCCCTCCAGATACTTGCGGTTGTGAGACTTTGGGGGTTCTTCCGGCAAAGCCCCAGATGATTGGTATGATGCAGAGAACACACAGGGAGCGAGCACGTATAAACGAACAGTCCCATAGCAGAACACATCATGATTCACGGAGCCGCGACAAGGAACCTTTGATTGAGCTTGTGAAGAGCTACATTCAGAAGGCTGTGGGTTAACAAAACTTACGAGTAGCAGTAGTAGTTCAAGTAGCTGTAGCAGCAGCAGCAGCAGCAGCAGCAGCAGCAGCAGCAGCCGCAGCCATGCGCGCCCATGGCACATGGTATTAAGTGGGATGGGTCGGAAGAACTGATGACGTAGTCTTGCCATAGCTTTCATGGCCAGTGCTGCTACTACGACAACAACCACTTCTGGACAACTAGTTGCTTCGGCTGTTGCTATTGACTGCTTCTGCTACCGTACCATGAACGGATCATGTTGCGTTTTCGTTGCACTGATAACCGATCACAGCAGCCGTGATGCAGTTGCATGGGGCATGGCGGCTTACGTCTCGTCTCTGGGTTTTGCCAATGCCGGACTGCGGCCTTCAACTTACAAAAAAGCTCGCTACGATGGCTCGCTCTCGTGCTGTTTGCGTCGAAAAAATTTCATCAAAGCTTCCTTTCAGCTAAGGTCGCCTGGAGTCATGTGCTGCCTGGGGAGATACTTGGTTCGGAGCTCAGCTCCTCTGGTTCTCTCCTTCGAGTTCCGCCGTTATTCTACCAGGCCGTTGACTGCAAAGCGCTAACCACCGAGCATCGACTGCGCGAGCTTCGGGTCTAAACTCTAAACACGCAGCCAGGAATCTCCTGGGCGAACCCCCATTCCTCACGCTTCAACGCTCGAGTCTCAGAGGTTTCTGCCGATGTCAGTAGTGACACGGATTCAGACTTGTACCTGCCGTTGTCGATGGCCATGACTCTGGCCAGAATTCTATTCTCCGTGCTGTGCGACCATGCCGAGTCTAGTAACAGCCAGACTTCTTCGTTTGGTCATGCTGGCTTGTTGTCGACCCAATCCTGCGTGGGGACATGAAGGTGTGTGGGCAGGCCACCGTCTAGAGAAGTGTGACCCAGCCAGCTATAGGCGGTGGATAACTGCAGTGATCGCGAAGGCCATCAAGTAAGCAGCATGCCGCGGGCTGGCTGAAGGCAACTTCGCCAGGTTTCGTCCACGAGACAAGGCCCCAGGAAGCCGAAGTCGAAGTCCCACAGGCCTCGGAGTCAGATCCCTCTGTCAGTGTCTAAGACTGTCTTGGTTTCTAAGGCCTTGGCCATGCGCCGCGGCCTCGGAGTCTCCGAGGCGCCCTGGAGGAGCTGCTGCGACTCCTCGACTGCAGTTTCCGGAATTTCTGAAAAACTACACAGCTACAATCTACGTGTGCACACACACATGCACAGAGCAAATCAAACAGTATAGACGCAGCAAATCCAAAAGCGATCCACATGCGGGTTAGTTGTGTTGAGGATAGGAGAGGGTTGGAAAAATACACATGCCCCGACTAGTTCTGCACAAGCAGACCTCACGGTTCGATTCCTGATGGTAAGACCAATCCTGTAACCTTCTGAGGGACGGAGAAGCTGGATGCTTCTGCGCTCCGCCGGTCCTTTGATTGGGCGCGTCTGGCAAAGACAGAGCAACGCTTCAGCCGCGCCTCGACGAGTAAAAGGTAAACAGGGGCTTAAGTGCAATTAAGTTTGGGTTTTGTGTGGCCAGACATTCTGCTGGGACTGGCGCTCAGTCGGAGCCTTGTGTCGCCTCAAGCTCTTTGTTCTGCTCCCAACTCCCTTGAATCCCTGGAAGCTCCGTCCGATCGGCCGCAGGATAAACCCAGGTTTCGGGCTGGCTACGGATCCAAGGTTCAAACAAGTTGTGCCAGATAGAGTGCGTTTTGCAGTATTGGCTGGGGAGGGTCCGGAACGTGAGCTTGCCAATGCTTGCCAAAAAGATCTTTTCGGGTGCTTGTTTTTTTCCTATTGCTCATCTTGATGGTGGCAGGACTGTCTTTGGACGAGCTAGCAGCAATCCGGCTTTGCTTGGATGCTCCAGACGGCGACCAGGCTTCACGTTGACCAAACGCCAATGCAGGTACGAAAGCTGGAGCAATCTGTAGTAAACCTAGTTTAACCCGCCCACCGCCTTACACAACTTGGCTGTTCAGTGTCCAAGCTATCGTCCTCTCATATCACACTTTGAAGCTGCGGCTGAACATGCTAATTAAGCTTCCAGTGCCGAGATGTTTTAATTATGTTGAAGACGCAGGTCGAACGTTTCTCCAACCTTGTTCGGCCTTCCTGCCACCTTCCAAATTATAACCTGTCGCGCCTCAGCTTGAGGTGAGACGGCTCCGGCAGCCCTTCTCGCGCATATCCAGGAAAGTCGCGCCGTCCTTTGGTTGGAAGAGGGCCTATCGAAGAACGCCCGTTTTGCAACATGGTTTCTCTGTTACATTGCAAGACCTGGGCGGAAGAAGGAAATAGGCTTGATCATGAAGAGCTGGATGCTCGACTTGCAGAACTGCAGGAAACAGGAGGCTATCGTGATCTGCCAGTGGTTTCCTTCAACAGATCGCCCATTTGACAAGAACGAAGTGTCTCGTCCTGTCTTCTGGCCCTGGCAGATCTGGCAGGAGAGCACTTGGTTCTCCGCCATGAACCACTTTCTTGCGTCCAGGTGCGTGGCCCTAATGCACTTGCCTGCGAATCCACCCGGCAGCTTAACAATTGCACGTCTGAGATGATGCAGGAAGGTGAGGCTAGGCTTCAGGCAACTGAAAGATTTTGAACAGGCAGCGACGGGCTTCGTAAGCAGACATGGTGTGAGGCATCCCTCCAACGTCGATACGGCGGACAAGGCCGAAGGCCCTGCGCGAGATGTTGACCCAGCTGCTTCTGTCGACAGTTTGCAAGATGCGTTTTGGGCGCTTGCCCTAATTTGCCGGATTGGATCGTGCAGTCTGGCCTGCATTGTCAACTTCTCCTCGCACAGGTTTGCGTACAGGCGGACTTGCGTGGTGATGCTTTCTCTGCCCTCGCACTACACGCAGCGACATCAGACACCACCGTTTTTGTGTGTAGCTTTCTTGCCTTGCTGAGAACCCATGAACGTCATAAACATCCACATTTCGGCAGAGTCCGAACCCACAGAAAGACCCAAAACCTGTCCACCGAAACACTTGCAGTGTAAGCCAGGCAGTGCCTCCACATGGGAGGCCCTCGCTGCGACTGTCATGGTGAGATTTCTGCGGGGGATTTCGTCAAAGGGCACATACGACAGATACAAGGTGTTGGGAGCTTTCTCAGACATCACCTCAGCAGAGGGAGCTCAAGCATGTCCAGGCGAGGGACAGAAACATACACAAACCATGAAGAACACTCCGAGATACCGGGCGATTATTTTTTCTCGCGATGAAAACAATCCGGCGAGCATTGCAACTTCGGCTCAGTGATGTCCTGCATTTCGAGAGCGAGAGTGAGCGAGAGAGAGCGAGAGCGAGAGAGCGAGATGGTCTGGATTGTGCGGTCCTGCAAGCTTTTGTGTGCACATGTTCCAAGAGTCAGCATAGCAACGTACAAAATGGAATTTTCCATTTTGCACCCCCCCCCCTAGCCAAACAGTGGGGGATGATAAGCGTGGAGGTGTTCAGAAAAGTTTGTGCTCACTGATCTTGTGGGTTCTTGGGTTCGGAATTCGAGGAAGCGCACTGGCTATTGATCGCAAGAGGGCACTTGCAGGTTTCCCTCTGTGAAGTCGTGAGCGTCCGCAAAGCCTGCACGGGTCTTGAAACCCTTGGAACGTCCTCACAGTCTGCTTGAGATGTCCTGCTTCAGCACGAGCGGTGCCATGCTGTGAGTCACTACCCCAGACATGAAACGCAACACGATGCAGAATGCAACGGCCCATGGCAGGTGTTGATTTCTGCTGTCGTGTCTGGCCTGACCGCCTTGCGCTTGCGAGAGCAGCACGAGGCGGCTCACTGGCTCCTTGCACTGGGGTGTGTAGAGCGGGCTTTCAGAGTAGTGCCGATCCATGGCTTGCGTCAAGCAGACCGAGATGTTTGGTAACAGTACCTGAGAAGACAAAGCCTCAGCAAATCGCGCGAAGGTAGCGCCTGGATGCTGCTACCGCCTGTGCTGGATCCCCCAGCAAAACTTCGATGCACTTTTCGGCGGGCAACCCAGAACCACATTCCAGTCCACTCATTCGCACAGATTTTGTAAGTTGTCAGTATGGCCAGAGCGATCCCCGCCATTGATCAGATCTTCAGCTTGCCCCTCCCAGAATCCAACAGCCATTTCGGCGAAAACAGTGCCTACGAGCCGAGCCATCTGCTGTCTGAGCTTTCGAGCTGACTGCACAAAGATATCTGGTCACACAACCAGCCGATAGCTGTCTCTCCAGAGTGCATTTGAGTCTTTGGGCTTGGCTGTGGCGTATCGCAAAACCATGCAGCTGTCTTTGGGGAAAGACAACCTCGGCGCCAGAATTCGGCCGTTTGGTTTTTGAAACGAGTGTCTTCCGGAGCTGATAGTTCTGCGGCGCTTGCATGTCAGGGCGGGGGTGGGTCACTACAGCCCCCCCCCCACACGCAACCAATAAAAGCCCACCTGTGCCAAGCGAGGTCGAAGGTTCGAGAGTTGATAGGTTGGACGTGTGAAAGCTTCAAGCTTTGAAGGTTTCAATTGTGCAGCAGTTCAAAAGTTCGATCACTTTTTCGCACGTGCGAGCAAGCCCGTGCGCGCATCAAAATCGAATTTTTCAAATTTCTCAAACTTGTAAGCTTTGGAGCTCTTCGAACGCAAGCTGCAATCTTGGGCTGTGGCCGAGCTCGGCGGCCTCTCAAAGGTTAGAAATCGCGAAACAGCGAAGGCTGGGTGGGTGAAGCCAAACGTAAGAACACCAAAATCGATCCAACGCAGCACTCTCACAAAGAGCTCGGCTTCAGTCAAGCCCGATCTCTGCAAGCCAAGGCTCTGACAGCTGCGGACTCCTGGCTGCATTTTTCCTCCCTTGGCAGATCCTTGCAGTTTCGAGTCGTGATTGCAGGATGACAGCTTCTTCTGACACAGTTCCTGTAAGTTGCACGAGCTTCGAGATTCGAGATGCCTCTCATATTTAGAAAATACCGACAAACCCCTTAAAGCCGAAGACCCTAGTCCCTTTCACTTGTCACACCGTCATGACACACTTCACTAACAAATCCCTTGCTGCTGCGTCGAAGGTCGGTTGCTTTGCTTCACTGGCTTTCAACGGGCCCCTTGGGCAGTGTCATCATTTCAAGTGCCGAAGGTCACTGAAGCGCCGTCGCGACGCGTTTTCTAGGCAGAAGCTCAGCTAATCCTTTCCCCCTCGAATTCGAACCAATTTCCCTGTGGTGCGACTTGATCAACGGGGCGGGTGAGAAAAGGACCTGCGCCGATGATAGAATTTGTTTAGCCCTACTCGCACTTAGTGATGAGACTTGTAGTTGCAAATCAAGCAAGGTCCCCGCCTACCCCAGAAGCAGTTGTTGTTCCGCTGTTTAGTACGAGCCCGTCACCGTACAATGCCTTTTTTGCTTCTGAAACCTTCTGTCCAGTCCCTGCGTTGGGAAATTGAGGCAGCTTGTGGCTGCGATAAAGTGATAGTGCCTGTCACTAATCAGCATGTCCCATGGCCATACACAAAATGCGAAGGCTCACGACCACAAGGGGATCCTGCCCTGAAGCCCAAACGTACAAATAACAAAAACGCGGGCAACGATTGCACAGAGATTTTGCTCTCGAACCTCATCGCAGTGCTAGTGCTTCAGCGCAGAAGTGGCTCACGGTTGACAAGATTGTGCAATGTCGGTGCGACCCTCCGCCCGTACCCGAGAGGTGAAGGTGACAAGTGCCATGCGAAAGGCCTGCGAAAGCAAAGCCATCAACGGCAGTTCTACATGCTCGCGAAACCTTGTTTGAGCACTTCAGGTCTGGAAGATATGTCACTTCCTGAAGACAAAACTCGATACCGTGAGAACTGAATATCCGGCACGCTTTGCATCCGAAAGACTGAGGCTGGCGGCGCTGAGCCTTGGCAAAGCTTGGGACAGTTACGTCAAGGCTGTGTACCGCTGCTTGGCGCAATATTGAGACTGCGCGGGCTGCTTCGTTTTGTTGCGCAGTCGCAGGCCAAGAAGATAACAGTTCACGAATATTGGAATTTGTGCTGAGGGAGGAGAGCCGCCCTTCCGACCCATGCAGTGACAGCCGAAGGTGGAAACGTAAGACAGGGGCAATATAAGCATCGCTTGCGGCCAGCTGAACCGGAGTCCCTCGTCTTCGACCCGGTCCTGTAGACAACAAACCTACAGGAAGCTGATAGAATCACCGCAATCGGACGAGCCGGCTGAATCCTGTGAATATGCCATGGAAGAAATGCCCCAGTATATAGGGATACCTACCAGTAGAGCGTGCCGGGCTTCGAGCGTGATGTCTGCCTTCATCCGGACGCTGGTGCCAGAAACGCCAGTGCACTTTGTATTCGGAGCCCATTCTGTGGCGAGCCGACCCCACTGGTCTCTCGATATTCCTCGCCCCTCCTTTCACTGCTGGGATGGGCCTTTAGGGATTCCCGCTTTGCCCCCTGATGGCTCCATGGCCGGCAGAGACTGGGAAGTCACCATGAGTTGCGTGGCTCTATCTGGCAAATCGACAGGAGGCTCACTTTAGTCAGACTCGTTAAGTCTTTAAGTGGTTTCAGTATAAATCGTTCACTCACGAGTGGCTGTTTAGAAGCATTCGGTTCTGTGTTATCTTCGTGCAACAGCGACAGGTGCCTCCTGGAGTTCGATGCGGCTATTTCTTGTCAAGCTGCAGCAGTGCAGGATTTCTTGGTGGAAGGAGCCCAGTTCTGCAACGGTAAGGTTTCCTGTGGGGACAGGGGCGCCCGGGGGTTTCCAGATTTGGATGCTCGCTGGCTTACTCTAGGGCTTACTTGGTGCGCTCACATCTGTCATCAGATGTCGTCATTTGTGGAACGTCACTGTCCGGAAGCCCTGACTTGATTTACATACAGTTTCCGTGTCCATATATCATTTCATGCTCGGCTGGCTACCGGCATGTTAAGGAACCGCAGCGAGTGCCACACCGGAGGTGGCCGGGATTTTATTGGCAGCAGACGCGCATGCAGCAGGATTTAAGGATCGTGCGGCAGTGTTGGTTGTAAGTGTTTTGAATGTTGCCACTGCTCCACTTGTGCTGCGGCATCATGTGAGGTGGTTGTTAGAAGATGGTAGAGGGCTGTGTCTATTTCTTGGGCTTACGTGGATCCTGCCAACCCTGAAATTCCGGAGACGGAAGTCCAGACATGATCATCCTGAATGTGGAAAGCAGCAGGCCGTTCAAATGACACTCCTGCGATTCAAATCCTTTGCAACCTCTCGTTCCGCTCGGAGCGCTGTTGTTTCTCTTTAGGATGCTGATGGTTGAGAAATAATTCATGAGCAGCCATCTGGCAAACTTGTCTTCCTGACCTGCAAGATCTCAAGCGCTGGAAGCCCGGGTAAAGCTCACAACTGAAAATTCCTGCACAGCTGCTGGTGCCTCCTTTTCTCCGGAGCCACGTTCGCCGCGTTCGTCGCGAGAGCTCTCCACCGCCGCTGCTTGATTGTTGAAGGTTTGCCAGACTTCTGAAAACTGACACATGGTGTGGGTTTCAAGAGAGCTTGAAATACGAATATTCGGAGGTCTTGCTGCTTCTGGGTCTAGGAATCAGAGATCCGACCGAAGTCCACATATCACAGCTACAGTCAGTCATTGTAAACGTTTCGCATCGTCCGCCTCAGCCCCACAAGTGCATTTTTGCAGCTTCAGCAATATCTGCCGTTGCATCCTAATGGCCTGGCACCAAGATATCACATCGACATCTTCCGCGTACAACTCGCAGGTGTGACTGAGGCAGGTCCCGGTTGGAAAATCTGCCACCGATTGCTGCCGCTGAATACATAGATGTTGCGGTGGCGTGTCCCAGCTAGCCCGCTGCTGTGCAACTTGCATTTTGCAAGCCGGGAATGCTGGAGCCTAAACCTGTAAGCTGGAGGATGGTGTTGAGGTCTTCGCGGGTTTCAGCTGTCACTCGTGCTGCTCAAGCCTCTGCAGGCTCCGTTCTCGGACGATATCCTTGAAGCACCACCGGAGGCGAATCTGGATATGTTGAGCCATGTTGACAGTTGAGCCACAGTACAGTGGGGAGGCGCCCGCAGCGCTTGCCCATGATACTGATTTGGGATAGTCTTCAAACTGCATATTCGCTCCTGAACCTTCCGGGAAAGACCTGCTGAATCTAGAGACTTTGGATTTGTACGGATCAACTGACACATCTAAGTTTCGAGGAAGGTGAGGAAGACTTTGCCATCAGTCATCCTTGCTACAATTTGCCCCCGAGCATCTACAAGCACTCCAAGGGCCTTTGCATTCTGATTTCTGTGCTCAGGGTGAGTGAGGAGTTTTGTAGATTGCAGAAGGAAGTGGCCTTAATATTAACATCAAGATCAGGAAAAGTCTGATGACTGTCGAAATTGGCTGCTTTCGCACTGCCATCTATTTTCCAACAGTTGCCACAATCGACTTTGGTGGGAGTGGCCGGGGTCTGTGGTGTCGCAGTAGCCATGTGAGCGCCTGAGTCATGTCGCGAGAGCTGAAAGAAACTGGCTCCTTGTTTTCTCTTGAGCCTTGAGGCGGTCCTGGTGGCATCAATGCTCCTGGCTCTCCAAGGAAGCCCTGCCAAGGCTGACTATGAGCATGTCCTGGGTGAACATTCGGCTTCTGAGGGAACGCCTTTGCTCATTTCCGAAGGTCCGGCCTGAAGATTCAGTTGTGGCCGACCCTCGGCCGACTGCTGCGCCCGTCGCAGGAGCTGGAGACCAATCCTTCCTCCCCCGAGGAGATGGCAGCGGCGACTTGCCTACAAAGTACTGAACTATACTGAACTAATTGGCCATGAGCTGTTGCATCTCCTGGTCTCCAAGCCGGATGACTCCCAGTCCATGCTAAGATTTCGAGGCCTACAGCTGAGCTTGACCCCTCCGATTCTTGAATCAATGGCTGGTGTTTGCCAGAGCAGCATGAAATAGAAGATGCCATTGAGCAGCAGAAGCCGGTGGTGGTGTTTTCGGCCGTTCAGTGCAGGAAACTGTGATTCATCACGGCTTGTTGCAAATCTGATGCTTTGTACTACCGGCTCAGGTGTCCAGCAGCTCCAGCAACATTGCCACCGGTGGTGCCTCGGATGGAAGACTGAACATGACAGAGCTGTATGGAAGGGCAAGTAGCGGCGTGTATGTGTGCAAGTATGGAAGTAAGTAGGTATGGGTAATTATGTGGGTGTTCCTTCGGTCGGTCCGTCCGTCCGTTTGTTTGTTTGTTGAGTGTGTAGGCAAGTTTCAACGTAACGTAACGTGACAACGTAAGGTTAAGTAAGGAAGTGTTATGCAGTGCAGTCTATACTGTGTCGTATGTTGTGCATGTGCATATGTACGTGCGCAGGCGTGTAAGCTGGTGAGAAGATCAATCAAGCTAGCTGTTGAGTCGCTGTTTCCAAGAAAGCACGCATGCATGAACAGAAAATGTCAAAATAGCTAGGTATTATACATATAGATAAGATAGGTATGTGTGTATATATATATATATATGTATATATATATATATATGTATGAGTGTATGTATGGCATGTATGCATGCATGTATGAATATACATGTATGCACAGTATGCATGTTACACCTGTGAAGTGGCCATACTAACACCATTTGCCTGCCGCTTGCCGCAAAACGTGCGGCTACCAGCATGCAGCTTTCTGCATAAGTCTCGAGAGCTCCTCCGTGTGTTCTGTAACGGGCATGTGTGTCAGGACCCGAGGGGTGATTGCTCCTCGAGGGTCAAGTCGGGAAAAGAGGCCTTGAGTCCAAACCACCAAAGCCCCCCCGAAGAAACCCAAGCAAGGCAACGTGTTGTATTGCTTACAGATTCACATCTCCGGTGTCGGCCTATGTTCTGGCGTCCCTACAAACGTGTCCGAATGCATGCTACTGCATGGTCCGGTGGACATGTAGTACATGAGCACACCATATTCATCACATGCCACACAAGCGCAATGACCTACAGACACTCGGGCTTCCATTTTCACCGAGACACTACTGTATCGAGACAGTATCGAGACCGTCGTCAGCATCAATACATTGCCCGAGTTTCCACTAGTTTGGGCATTGGGCTCTGGACTCTCCTACAGCTCATGTCATGGCTCTACTCCAATCGGAGCAGCGTTTCTGCGATGCTGGATTTGTGGAGTTGGGAATTACGGCCCTCCGAAACTGCGCCCTTGTGTCAAGGAACAATTGACTTCCAAGCCGTGGCGACTCCCTGTTCTCCGAACCTCTGTTGTTGTCGTCGGTGGTCTGGCGCCGGTGCGAGAACAAGTCGCAGCATCAGCAGCAGCCGCGCTACTGGTGTCGCTTGCAAGGGTCCGAACTTGTCAGAATATACCAGAGCGGAGTTAAGCCATGAGTCTATTGTTCTGTTACACAGCATGGAACCACCATCGTATTATGGCTGCCGGCAGTCCTCACATCACCACGCCCGTCGCACAGGTCGCCAGTAAGAACTAAGCGGTTGTAATCAAAGTTTAACTGCAGACTCTACTCTTGGATGCGGCGACAAGGTCAAGCCTCCGTTGCCACACCGTCAGCCGAGGCGCATCAGTGCACCCAGTGTTTGTCCTAAGTTGCCTGGTTGAGTCCGCAAGCGACTGAATACCGACATCTAGTTCTTAACGGTTGTATGTACATGAAGAATGTTAGCACCTTGATCCTCCTCGTGGCCAACCAGCAGTTTTACAGTGCTGGCACACATTGCATGATGTGTATACCTTGCTTTGCTTTGCATTGCCTGGTTTTGCGAGTATTTCGGGGAGACGGCCGGGGTATTGGCACATCTCCAGCACTTAGCGCGGGTGTGACAGAGTCCTGTTGTCATGTCAGCAGTTGTTATAACGAATCTGACCGCAATGTTGTTGCATAAGTCGTCACCTCAGTATGATTTAGAGGTTGCTTCCGACGACACGGAGCCTCACTGTGCAATCGTCAGGAAATCAAAGCATGGTGTTTCGATGGCGGGTCGGTATGGGTCGGTATGCCTTCAATCAACAAGGTTGTAGTCTGCCGCAAACCTCGTCGGACTTGTCGGACTTGTCGAGCACGGGTGACAAAAATGCCTTCAATCAACAGAACCAGGGAATAAGCTCCAGACTCCAGAACACAAGCTGGGAAGGCATTTCGTGGCATCCGTTCTCGAGACACATAGTGCCAGCGTTAGCTTACACTTGTGTCAAAGCATGACTGCATGTGCATGTTTGGCATAATTTTTGATCTTCTTTCTGCAGGCATGCCTCATGCGTACCGTCGCATTGTGTATTTGAGGGTTCAGGCTCCCGGGCCACTGGCGCTCGCTTGTCGAACCGTCGGTCTCTATGTCTGCTACGGTCCGGCACTGCTTGTCATCGACATTTTCGCGGCTGCAGAGTCTGGTATTGGCGACAGAAAAAAGTTGAACCCTTCAGCACGTTACTCCGCTGGACAGGAGGCTCTCGACCTAGCCGGGCGCTTTTTTACCCAGCTGGCAGCCTCCCTGCGGGTGCCCTGTCAGGGCGTTCAGGGAAGGCACATGCTGAGGGAGCTTGGATCTAGGCTTGTATGGCTCCATTTATATGCAACACCGTAGACCAGTTGCACACTGACACGGTGAAGTCATAACGGCTTTGTGGTTTTGCGTGTGCCAGTATGACCGACGGCTAAAAGCTGCACAGCGTTTGCTTGCCATCGTTTCGTGGGGCTTGTTTCAGACATTGGCATGACCGGTAATATTGCCAAGCGCAGCATGAACTCTCACGGCGAAAGCCAAGCCAGCCAAAGCCACGAGCGCTGACCCCGCACACGCGATCGTGTTTGTTGAGGTGCGAAGTCCCAACGAGGTGGGTCGCATGTGGAAGGGCTACTTGGAGTGCGCGCTGGATGGGCACAACCCGTGGAAGGAGAGCTTGAGGGGCCGCTCTGGTGGGAGAGATGTAGGATGCATCTGTCGGAAAGACAGCGTAGCGTCGCGTTTCACGTTTCTGACATCTCCTGACGGAGCATGTCCTTTGTGCTTTGACTGCAGCAGCTGTAGGAGATGCAAAGCTAGAACTGCAAAGGACTCTTTTTGGGAACTTGGAGATTGACAGTTAACCACGAAGATGAGATGCCTTGAATCTGGCAGGAGCTCGGCAACACGCTTCAGCTAGGCCCATTCGGCATAGCGAGGACTGGCACTGCCTGAACTGTGGTGTTCGATCGAAAAACAGATATGCTGGCCAGAAAAGCACGTGAACCCTTCAGGGTGTTGTTTCAGAAACTGGTGGCTCATCTGCGACTTTATCATTGGAATTCATTGGAGGGAGCACTACCATGTGTTGGAACTCGCAGGCTGCTGCCCCTTCAGACCTACCAGCCTCGCAACAGTTCGCATCGGAGTTTCTGCTTCATCGCGGTGCAGTATCCGGCACGATGTGGCAAATGCCGCTTGTTCAGGCTCCTCCCCGTTGGATAGAGAGCTCGATTCCGAAAACCATCGATTCAAGCCATGAGTGAGGTTCAAATCTGTGAATCCGGTCCTATGCCTCCAGGACGGCGGTGGTCGGCTCCGCGAGGGCTTCCCTGCGTGTAACGAAGCGAGCCCTCGGCTTTGAGAGCTGCCTCGATTCTGCGCCCTGGTCTTCAACTAAAGCCTTCCGGGCAGGGGTCCAGGAATGCTCCATTGGCCTCGCCCTGTTGGTTTCTTCCGGCTGCTGCTTCCCGTTGTAAAGAGTAAACACCACCGAGACATGAAGATCGATCCTGCCGCGCATGCTGTTGCAGCTCTTCGAAGGCAAAAGAAGCCTTCAACTCCACATCCCGAACGAGAAAAGAGATGACAATCCAGACGGCAGATGCAGGAATTAGGAAACTCGAGGGGGCCGGCATGGATAATGTGCCTTACTGCCCCAGTGGCAGTACGTGGGTGCGGTACGGAACACGACTCTGGGTTTTGCTGCCGCTCATGTTGCATTGCCGGCAGGCTTTGCCGCGACCCTGGGTTTTGCTCATGAATGTCTGCTTATGTCATATGTCTGCTTAAGCGCCTTTGCATTTGCCCGAGTGGCTCTTTGCAACAGGAGGCTGCATCTTGGGGAATCGGTGGCCATGTTCTGTACATGCCATGCTTCATGCAAACATCAATCACGAGCAGTCTTTGCCCGCACAGCTTCTAAGGAAGCCATGGACCAGCAGTTCTGCCGCCAGGCGCAACAGCGCCAGCCGAGGTTTGCATCCATTCTTTCACATGGTCCCTCGAGCTACGGCGAAAGCACTGCTTCCACTTGACTTTGGTGGCTTGCAAGCCCTCTTGTTTGCAGCCCAATTGCCAACACCTCAAGTGTGGAGGCCGAAGAGCTTGAAGCACTTCGACATGCTGCTGTGGGCTGCGCAAGGGAACAGGCTTGGTGCTATGTGTTTGAATTAAGGGCCAGGGCGGCGGAGGTAGTTAAGAACCACACAGGTTGAGCAAGTTGCCAAAGTCGGAGACAGATTTTTAGAAAGCATCGGGCACACCCGATTTCTGGCGATTGCCTCGATCCACCAATCCTGAACTTCAGACCCTCAAGGCCTAGGCCCCAAGCGAGATCAGTCCACGGCGCAGGCGCGAGCTGTGCGCCTGGAGACGTTGTCAGACCCAGAGGCATTTTTGCGATCCTTGGTGTCTTCTGTTCCAAGACAGCTCAGCCCCTGCCGGGGTTACGAACGAAGACATTTGTCACTGCTGCGATCGCACCACCGATAGCGAAAATCCATTACATCCTGCGTCTGAAAGGGTGCATCTGTACAAGATCGTTTCGATCACCCCGGTCCCACCTCTCGACCGCCCCTGCGACTGGGTTTGAGTTCCTGCTGGAAACCAATGCAGCACCGAAAATGTGCTACATAACGAGCGTTCCAAGTTGACCAAGCGCAAGTTGAAACGCATTTTCTGCCAAGGATACCTAGCACACGATCCTGTCCGAGCTTTGCGAGCCACCAGTCTGCAGATTCTTCAGAATGTCCCGATCCCAGATGAAGCCGACAAACGGGCACAGAGTTCTTTTGCTGTCGTCGTGCAGGGGTTGGCATGGAATGTTTTGACAGCGGTTGCCGTGTGCCACGAACCAAAGACACATTGAAGTCATTGAAACTCCCTGGCCCCTGGTATGACAAAGACGATCATAGACAAGACCCGAATCCCTCATGGCTTGGGGCTTTGATCGCCTTTGCCAGGCCACACCTGCTATCCTCAAGGCGGCTTGAATGAAGACTGGAGTCAGACTTGATGGGGCAGGTTGCTGGGATGTTTGCTCTTTCCGGCGAACCTGCTCGGAACAGAATCACTTGTCAAAGATTTTGGCCGTAACTTCGGAATCCCAAGTTACCAAGTAGCACACTCTGTAGCGGGGTCTGTCAGGGTCCAGTTCAGATTGATTCCAAAGATCTCCCACTGGGAAGATCACGAGCGGAGGTCTATCGGGATTCTGCGGGTCCGGCGCAGCGCGTGCTGCTCTTCGCCAAGCTGATGGGTTTGTCTGCCATGGTCGAGGGCTCAGAGAGGCATTTGCCGCGGCTGCCTTCTGATACTCCAGGCTTCCCAACCAACACACACACACATGTCTTGGGAGCCTTGCTTTCAGAGAATCTGGGGCGGGTGCATTTGGGCTCTCTGGTCGTCCCTGTGTCTTCGCGGGGCGTGAAACATGATGCGTTTGTGCTTTGGGGGCCTGCCCTGCTGCTCTGTCCCTAAATTTGGTCCTGGGCCAGCCAGCCTGGCAGTGCGACCACATGACTGCTCGGGGCCCTTGACTTTATTCAACATGCAGTCCCATTTTTCGAAGCTGGTTGTTAATCTTGCCTTGGCGCAAGATGTCGGGGTTACAGATTGCCAATCCAGGATTCGGGTGAGTTTGTAGCTGCGCACCACTGATTGCAAGGGGCACTGGCTTCTTCTTCTTCAGGCTGGTGGCCTCCTTTGCGGTGACCCTCGTGTTTGCGAAGCCTTTGAGGGTCCGTGGCGAGCTGGAGGCGCCCACGGGCCGCTGAGCTTGAAATCTAATCTGAATGTCATGGTTCAGGGGTTTTGGGATTCAGGCCAGCGGCGGCCAGCGTGCAGCTGCAGTTGTGTAGCTTGGGGTTTCAACTCTCATGAAAATCATACCGAAGATTTGAGTCAGGGCGTTGACAACTGTATTTGAGGGCTGGTTTGATTTGTTTCAATCCCGCGCCACATCGCAACGGTGCGGTGGTCGCTGTGCTTGCCTCCTGCATCTCCTGTGGCCCGAAACCACTCGAAGCTTCGACGCCACACAGTCGCCCCACGAGGAATGCTTGGCACAGCTTCCGCTCCTGTTGCGAGCAGCTGGATGTGCTCCGGCCTGGGTTGCGATTTGGAATTCCGCAGAAAGTGGGCTGCTGCCTTGAAACATCTGGACTACGCTTGGTTGATCTGTCGTTCTGTTTTCTCAGCTGGTTCGGGATCGGATTTCAAACAGAGCAGTGCCGCGGCAAGCAATGACATGTGCTCAAAGCTCATGCAGTGGGGCTTGCCTTTCACTGGCTTTTGAGGTTATGGTGAAGCAGGCACGAGTTTAGTGGAAGAGGAGAGGTCACGCGACTGTTGCTCAACCAATCCTTGCACATACAATGAGCCTTCGACGAGCGAAAGGTGTCAAAGCGCACCCTTGGCAAAGAGCTGTAGCCCTCCTGTTTGGTCCTATCAGCCCTTTCCAGAGTCAGGAAGGGACCCTCGCACGGAACGATGACTGCGACGAGGCGACAAGCGCTTGAGAGCCCATCTGCCAGCACCGACCAGAGCGGCACGAGTTTGCTTGATGAGTGCTTTGTTTGTAGCATGGCTTTTGCGGGGTTGCGATGGGATACAGGAGTGTACATGGAAGAGCGCCGGTAGGTATGTGTGTATATACACAGACACAATAATACATATCCACATTAGGATGTACAGGTTCAACGCGCTTAGTTACCGGCTGACTCACTTGATATTGCATGATATGGCGGACCCTGGAAGCCCTTTGCAGGCGGCTCTGCAAAGGCATCCAAGAGATGCACATGTAACTTGGGCCTTGTTGCAATAAAGCCCGAAACCCTTACAAAGCACTCTCGTTCACGATGATATCTCCGGCTGCCTCGAAAGAAGCTTTGTCAACACGATGCCGTAAGCCTAAGTCCACAGGGGCTAGAGCCGGCTAATGGACTCTTGTAGCACATGCAAGCACAGGTAAGAACAAGTAAGGCAAGACCAGACGGCAGTCCCTGGTCGTCCTCCCTACGACAACGAGCCGGGAAGGGTAAGGGACAAAAAGCGGAGATTTAGCTGTGACATGACTGACGCGACTGAGCTTTTGATCTGTACCAAAGGCAGGGGATCGAGCCTTGGCACTGCTCACGCTGATGCGGCTTCATTTGGCTCCCGAGCCTGCAATTTCGACATGCGCGGAGTTCGGTTTGGGGCACTCTTCTTCGGTTTCCTGGCTTCCCCTTCCAGAGGTTCCCTAGCGCACATTGGCAAACAGGCCATCTGAGCCGGGTAAAGCCGTCGTCAGTTGTTTTATGTAGTGGGCTTTGCGGGCAACATCTCCGACCTTCTCTTACACCGCCAAGAGCTTCAAGCATATAGGGTGCAAGTCTCCTAGATTCCTATGCGGTGTGGTCTCGAGAAAAGGGGTCTCGTTAGACCGCACTTCTGAGCTCTTCTGGTACTTGTTCTTCCGTACCACGTCAGCATTGCAGCCCAAGCAGCTGAAGCGCTCAGCCCTTCTTCAAGACTTGGCGGGATCCTTGACGAACGCGAAGAGGTGCAGAAGTCATTGCTGCCCAGACAGTGGCCGGATGTGCTCATGTCCAAGCTCAGAGACTGGAACAGATTGCAAAAAGCACACGAGACAGCTCCTGCGCGACGTTCACCGAGCAGCAGATGTGCTCTGCAAGAGAACCGTCGTGGAAATCGAGTTGGGGCAGCAGGGTGAGCTTCACGTAGGGGTTCGATCAGGATTGGTGGCAAAAGCAGGATAGCCAAATAATGCCTTCCAAGTCCGGTCGGCGCTTTCCCCGTGAATGGTGCACTTCCTGAGTGCTGGTTCATGCAGCCAGCTGACCTGCACGAGGCACACTACTGATGTGTCGCAGTTGTTGTTCTTCTGAATTCTAATTCTATCCCGACTATCAAGCCGAGCAGCGATCCACCTAGGCCAGAGTGCATTTGCTGGTCACTGCGGGTTCACCTGACACCGGCAAGACCACGTTGTTTCGGGAGGCCAGCCGCTCACTGAAGGTTGAGCCTCGCTTGAGAAAAGAGGAATCGCCGCTTCGAAGCTAAAGTCCGCTGTCGAAGCCTCTGCAGGTGTTTGGCCTCTCGCATTTGAGCGCTGGCCTCTCAGAGGCAGGGCAGGTGAATGTCTTGCCCAAGCTTACGAAACCGATACGACTTCACTGAATGAATCAGTGCTTGCTGCCCAGAAGAGCCTCAAACCGCTCCAGCCCTGAGGGTTCTTGATTGCTGCTGGGCTGTTGCACACGTCCTTTTGGCTTCTGATGGGCTGAAAGCCAACAGTTGCTTCCAAGCCTCCGGGAGTCAACGGCGGTGTCTTCATTCAAGCCTCTAACACCGCAGGAGGAACATATGGTTCAGGAGCGACAGCTGGGGGATTTAAGTTAGGTTTCGACCGGCACTTCACGGAATGAGCTAGGTCCTCGGTTTCAATGAAGCCACGTACTAAACAGGTTCGAATGCCAGAGTCTCGTTCGAACGGCTTATAAACCTCCGCTTCTGAAAGGGTTTACACCACTTCGCCATGGTTCCTTTCAGAAGGCTCGCTCTCCTTTCCCAATTTGCCCAGTCTCCAGTCTGTTTCGATTGGCCTGCAGATTTTGTGAAAATCGGCTTGCTCCGCTTTGGCAGCACTGCTGTTCCGTGCAGAACATGTCACATGTCGCCGCTTGTTCTCACAGTGCCACAGCTCTTGAAGAACAGCGTGCTACCCTTCTCAACTTGCCCAATCCCTTTCGAACGGCATGTTACCTTTTCTCTTTTTTTGTGTTCGAGCTAGGCCCCTTCAGGCTGCATAGGTCTCAGCACCGTCAAGCTGGCATGGCTGCCCTGACGGCAGTGGCACCCGGAGTTTGCTCGGGACGTGCTCTCTCACTTGCAAGAAGAGCCCTAACGGTCCCCATTCTCGACAGGAGGGGCGGACGGACGAAGTGCTTTGCGCTCTGCATCCTGACGCGGACCTGCGTTTCAGGCCTGGGAATCTGTCTTGCGATTGAAGTCTTGCCACGTACTTTGAGTAATGTTTCAATTGCAGCCGCATTGCACGCATCATCGTGAGTCGTTCCTATGCCGCCTGGCGAATATGATCACAGGCCTGTGTATCTTGTCGACATGCCGGGCTTCGGTGATGGCACGCAACTCCACCGCCTCTGGGCGAAAGAAATGAAGATAGCATTCGAGATCTTTTGGAACCTTTCTGCAACAGTGGGCGGCTGATGTTCACAATCCATTGTAACCGGGCTTGAGTTCTCGGCCCATAGACCGAGTCACCAGCAAAGCCTTTGTATGATCAAGCGAAGTGCATGCACCAAGAGCAAGACTAAGAAACGACCTCCGTTCAAGTAAGCCCTGCCTGCCCAGTCTGCAGAGCACAACATGCTGGAGCCTTTTGGCTCGAAGCGTGCGCCCGCTTTGCAGAGTCCTGTGCCCAACTGCTTGTCCTGAACCACGACAATGAACCTTGGATGCACGTGGTCTGAAGACACCAGCTGTAATATCCTGCCACCTTATCGCCTGCACACTGCACGCCAATGCGCACATGCGGATGCTAGTTGTTAGCTCTTCAGAAATGATGCAGCCAACGCCTGCAGCCTGCACCACTGTTGAGCTAGAGCGTTGCAAGTGGTGTCCTAGGGCTTGACATTCCCGTCCGGGTGGGATTCCTGACGGAAAGGGTTTACACAAAATGCAACCGGAAGTGCTTGTCGTGCAAGCGCAGCTTCAAGGCGGTAGGGATTGTGGGAGCCTCGTCCCTTGTTTTCTTCATCAATATAAGGGAGAGCGTGCTTATGAGTTGTGCACACCCCAGCTCGCTGTGCGAGTACTGTGCACGGGAGCCTGCTTAATCCTGCTTACTCCGCTCCATTTCTTTCCTGCATTACGTAGAAGCGAATCGAAGCCCTTAGCACATCAAGAGATCCCACGTCAAAGGACTCGTTGCGTCACGATGTAAGAAGTTAGTGCCCCAGCTCTTTACTTTCTGGGTGCAGCAATTGCATTGCTACTTGTCCACGTGGAAAGAGTCGTTGAGCGGCGGGCGATGATTGCTGCTCGGCCGGTCCGTTCTGATGAGCTATTCAGCTGATACGTACTGGTATAGACAGAGGGGCACTAGGGTAGATTAAGGAGGGTTGTATGGATTGATTAGTGTGAGCATGAATGAAGTGGCAACCTCGCCAGACGGCTCTATCTGAGGACCGACAGCATCATGAGAAGCTCGGCTGGAGTGGGGTCGCAGTGAGTCAGAGCTTATTTTGTACGGTCAAGTTCATCGAGAAACACAGCTGGACTTGCTTTTGGAGATTCGATCATAATATAAAAGCTTGTTCCCAGATGATGTACCGCACCTTTGAAGTGATAGGGGTTTAGGGTTTATGTAGCCGGGCGGTTTACAAGGGTTTAAAATAGGGCGCAAGGCTTCAGTCCAAGCTGTGCTCTGCTCTGAAGGCGTCGGACCAACTTGCCAAACAACGGACTGCCATTCCAACAGGAGCAAGACTAAGCATAGAGGTTCCCTGTTAAACTTACAGTTCGAGCCTCGAAGTTTCAAAACTTGACACAGAGCTCACCGAGAAGAGCTCTAGTGAGCAAGTTCCACAGGTACTGTAGTGTGTATCATTGCCCCTGCAAATGGCGGCATCTACCCATAAAACTGTTTGGACACCCAGCGGCAGCTTCGCCAGAGTCCTTAATGGGTTGGGTAATCCGGCCGCTCTAGAGCGAGGTGCTTCCCGGAAGCCAACCGGCATGAAGGGCAAGGCCCGCACCTGCTTCGGAGTCCGCAAGGCTTCTTTCAAGACGGATTTCTCAACAAAGCCCGAGAGGCCGCCTGACAAGAGTGCACCAGCCGCTTCGCAGTCTGTACAACATCAAAACTACACAACGGAAAGGTGCACGACTTGGCCACGACCCTCCAGTCCCAGAACGAGGCTTTGGGCATCGAAAAAGGACATGCGCCTTGGCATGACGATTGGCTGCGTTCCCCTCCTCCTATGATCAAAGGTCCCCTTAAAATTCTGCAGGCGCCGTGTCGAAGCTGCAGGAAAGTAGAACTGAGCAGAGGCTGGTGGACTGCAGGCGACAGCAACCACAGAAATTCAGGACTGCAGGGTGTGCGCACTGCAATGTGTACAGTCGTTTGAAAGAGGCACCGAGGAATGGAATATTGCAATGAACGCGGGATAGTAAATGAATTTTTCGCCTGACCGAATTTTGTGGCAGGGGGCTTGGTATTGGCAGAAAGAATGGAAAGAGCTTAAGGCACAACCAAGCAGGAGCAAAGGAAAAAAAACAGCCAGGAGGCAAAAGAATCAGCAGGAAGGCTTTCGAAATGTGCAGCAACCAGAGAAGCAGAAGCGACATTCGCACTTAAGTTCTCGCTGCTCCCGGGTCCCTGGGCTTGATCAGGGCTCATCCCGGAAACCCTGCAGGTAGTGGGTGAACAGACAGATCATGGAATTGCGGCCTCAATGTCTCAATGCTCCATTGCCTGTGCTTCCAAACATCTCCCACAAAAGCTGTGATCGCTTGGACATCTTGGGATACTCTTGTTTCGCTACAGGCTGAGAGCAATTTGCACCCGAAGCCCGGAAGTCGAGAGGGCATCCACTGACGTAGCAAGTCATCCGAGGTGCACAGCATCAAAGCGGGAAACTCGAACTCCACCAGCGGCACTTCGGACCGGATGGTATTCCATGTTCGAGCTGGGCTCTCCCCAGTACAGCAAACGAAGATTGATGCAAGCAGTAAGTTGCCACTCCCCATGCTATGGCATGTTCGAGCATCTTCCCGCCAATGCTTCGCATGATGTCTTCAATGGAGGCATGCAGTCCCAGCTGAACGATGTGAAGCGGTACTTCGGGGCTGACATCCAACGCATGATGCAAGAGTTCGAGGCGAGGATTATCATTTGTCCGCTGCGGTTGTGGAACAGGGATGTCAGCAAAAGATTGACTGCATGACATCCAGCAATCCAGCGCCGATTGGAGTCTCCGAGTTACAGGAATTGCTGCCGGCACACCGTGATCAGAGCTTGCATGCTCTAGTTCCTGTCGGGAGACCGTACACTTTTTGTGATCTCGTTCCCTCGTGTTTCTTGGTGAGGTTGCGGATTGTTCCGTATGAGGGTGGCGGGGCAGGATTCCTGTCGCATCATGTGCAGTTGTGCGATGGGTCCCGTGGTGGCCGCGTCCTGCCAGGGGTTCCGAAAGCCTGTCTATTCTTGGCACATTCTGCAAGTAGGCACCTGTCATGGAGCTTTGAGAGGAGTAGCAGCAAAAGCTTCTCAAAGTAGTGCTTTTTCTGATTTGACGAGCCCATACATGAGCGTCAGCCACTATCGAGTTGCACCATGATCATGTAACATGTGTGTTGCGGCTCATCCTGTTGGACCGAAGTCTTGAAATCGCAAGGAGAAATATCGCTAATCGCTGCCAAACGCCTGACGTATTGCCAACTGCCCTCAACCACAGCTTAGCACCGCCGAAACACCCGAATCAATTGGGTAGCGTCGGCGTGCCATGCTATGTCAAGATGCAGCTGGGTTCTTGATGTGGCAGATCAACCAAGCGAATTCGGATAAAGCTCCAACTGCACCGTGAACTGCCTCGCCGTGAGGGGCAGCAAAACCAACGCGTCATGCAGAGCAATGCAGCCAAAACAGCTATGTAAACTATGACAACAAAGTATTACGGAAAAAGTTGTACCCTGGCCCAGGAGCGACATGAACCTGGGTCGTCTGTTTGACATCCCTTGTGACATAAACACAGACCCGCTGACCCAACCTCACCCCATCCCCAGCTCCCGCGACCACCCACCCGCAGAGGTGTGCACGCACGCACACCACGCACACAAAACAGAAGAAGCCTGGATTGGAGGTTTCCCGCTTGGTTGCAGGAGTATAGGAACTTTGACAAACATGTTGCCTTGCCCCTGACGAAGCATGCGGCCCAGTGCCAAAGTTCCTGCAGGTGTCTCAGAAGCTGCAAGAAGCAGAGAATGTCCGTCTACAGCAACAGGCAAGATCTAACTTTTTCACAAAGCTGAGGAACTTTGTTGGGGGTTTTGGGGCCCGTTGGAGGTGACCGCTCTTAAGGGCGAGAAGACATCTGTTCACCAACAGCACCTGGGCCTAATCAGCGAGGCATTGTTCCATCCGTTCTCTTACAGAATCTTTCAGATGAGACGAAGCTGTGAGTCCCATGAGCAATGCAACAGGATTCTACATGCTGCCAAGGAAGTTAGAGCTTTGGGAGACAAATGTGGTGCATCGGAGGATTGGGATCGGAATCCGTGAATTCACTTTAACTCGAGAGGAAAGATAAATGCTCTCTCGGCAATCGGGACAGTTGCTCGGGATTTTTGCGGACCAGTGGGGCCCGCGAAAGCCGTTGCAACATCCGGTACCGTTTTGCCCTCCTGGCGACAGAATCTGCTAACCAGGCATGCAGGCACACAGTTGAGTCAAGCTGGTTCTGTGTAGAAGCCGAGGATCATCGCGCTTCAACGCCGCATCGAGGAACTCGAGGAGGAGTTGGGCCACGAGTGAATCAGACCGGCTGCTGGAGATCTCGAGTGCCAAAGCCTGCCCGATTTTGAATAAATTAGGGCACAATCGCACAACGAGAGCGCTCTTGTATAGTGGCTTTGCAAGACGATCAGCCCCGGTTTACAAATGCGACTGCTTTATGCTTTCCTTCGATTTTGGGCCTTGGACGCAAGCTTAAATGCATTCCGGAGACTGTGTACGGCAGGCTTTCACGACACTCGAGATATGGTGCTTTGTGTTGCAAAGCATCTTCGTGAGTTGCATCCGCGAGAATCGAAACCTGAAAGTCGCAGTCAAGAAAGTCCAAAGAAAACTACAAGTACACGTGCGAAGGTCTGTGACGCGCCTATATTATCCTCAGCATGTGATGCTCGAAGCCTAAGCTGATCATGTTACAAAGAGCTGGTAAACTACAGCCTCGGCTCCATCAGTCTATGTCCATGTTGAACTGGATGCAGACATGTGAAGACGGTCCTGTAGCACTACTGCACGCCTGACAATTCAGTTCTTTGCATGTACGCGGCTTTGTCGGCTTTGTTTGTCTGCCGGCAAGCTTGCGGACTCTCATCATCGCGAGATGCGATGTTTTCTGAACTTCTGCGGCAGATTGGCACGGCCATGCAAGACCAATACAGCCAGGATTAGTCAGCTGCGCCTGCAGCGAGACGCCTGTGCTGTTCTGCCCTCGTCCTGGTTCGCGTTCGTCGCAGAACATGGGGTCGTTGGTCGTAGCGCTGAGCGCTTCAGGCCGCATTGGGCTGGTCTCACTAGAAATCACTCGAACGAGTTGCGACACGCTGATGCGAGCAAGCTGCGATTTCTCTGCTCTGCCCTTTCCCATGTATTCTGCTGTGCCTTTCACACGTCACACTGCATTGCGCCCTGCTTTGTGACAAGCAAGTCGCATGAGATTCGTATGAACAACTGACTTAAAATCACGAAAACTGAGGGCTACAACATGAAGAGCCGTTTGCAGAGGAGTCTGCACATAGGTACCTACATGCATAGGTACGTCCGTGCATGCATGCATACATGTATGCACACCTAAATACATACAATTGTGCATGCAGCTACATACATAACATACAGCTGTGTCCAGTTACATGCCGGTACATACAGCCACACACATACATACAGTTACGCATGTGTGTGCGTGTGTGTTTGCGTATGTATGTATATATATATATATATATATATGTTCAGGCACGTATGTCTGTGTAGATGTGTGTATACCGTGCCCTCTTTTATTTGCGAAGTCAGGCATGAGACCTCAACCCATCACCTTGTCACATCTGTCGACTATACCCCATTTGATTACCATTGAGGATTTCGACAAAACAGTGCGAATTTCACCGGTCTCGCGTGCAACACTGCGCCAGAAGTCCTGAAGATGGTGGCACGATAAGGTGATGATATCCAATCATGGTCACGAAGTATTCCAACGGTGAGAGAGATGCGGTCCTGTTCCTTTTCGACTATAACAAAATGGTCTCAGGCGGCCGCTTCATAATAAGAAATAAGTTTCATATGTAATCTATGTACCAAGTACATACTTACGGTCCTCCTTGTTTCTCCAAGTACAGGCAATAGGCCCTATATGGGGACGGCAGAAAACACGCATCTGACGCATCCCAACCCCGACCAAGGAAAAAGCCATGTGCCGATGCTACGCCATGTGGGTCGATCGTTAGCACGCAACGTCTTTTTTTTTTTTTTTTTTTTTTTTTTGTTGTTGTTTTTTTTTTTTTTTTTGTTTTTTTTTTTTTTTATTTTTTTTTTTTGTTTGTTTTTTTTTTTTTTTTTTTTTTTTTTTTTTTTTTTTTTTTTTTTTTTTTTTTTTTTTTTCTCTTTTTTTTTTTTTTCTTTTTTTTTTTTTTTTTTTTTTTTTTTTTTTTTTTTTTTTTTTTTTTTTTTTTTTTTTTTTTTTTTTTTTTTTTTTTTTTTTTTTTTTTTTTTTTTTTTTTGCCCCGGTGGTCAAGTTGATGTGTGTTTGGGGAGGGGGCGCAGTAAGTCAGGGGTGAGTAAGAGTCATACGTGCTGTGTTGATCCTCATATCCCGGTTTCCGTAGGCCCCTTGTTTTCTCAAACACCCCTGTCACCCTGTAAGTGCCACAGCAGTATGATCGCGACGTCTTGACCGGCATCAACACGTCGGGGTTCGCATGCTGTTGACAAAGATCAGAAATTTGACTTGAGTTTTGCACTGGCGCGGCCCCAGGACGTGTATCAAACTTCCGTATCCTTTGTCTGCCTGTCTCGTCAGTATTGCTGCAAAGCACAAGGCAAAACTCTCGGACTCATGCGGTTGCCTTGGCATCCTTTATTCTGCGCCTCCTCTGCCCCGTCGGACTCTGACGTGTGTTCGTGCTCCCATTGCTTCCATCAGAGCAACCTCTCGTCCCGCTCATGCTGACAGCTTCCGTCGTCGCTTTCTCTCTGCTTGGAGCTCCCGGCTACACGGATTTCTGCGAGAGCTATACTGACACGATGAGTGTGGACACGGCAAGGCCTCCTCTTGCAGTTCGGCTATTGCTGAGAGAGCATGGCTTTGCTGCCGAGTTGTGTTTTTTGGCCGGGTGATGCCTCTGCTCCTGGTCCAGAAGTATGCCCAGGAAAACAGCAAAGGATTGCTGCGCGCTGGCATGAGAGAGAGGAACGCTCAAACCGAGCCTCCAACACTAAGTGGAGAGAGCTTTGAGACCTGTCGCATGGTTGTATGTTTGCTTTCGGGAGTGGCTTCTCTCCCACCCAACAGTGAAATCTTTGTGCTCGATGAAGGTATTTCTATGCCCACTTTAAGCGGGCACGCTAGTGCAGGGGCAGAGATCGCTCCCCTGTGATCCTGGAAATCGGAAAGGTTGGGGGGGGGGGGGGGGGGGGGGGGGTTGCAAAGCGTAGGGATGTCATCCCTGCTGTCTCTCCTCATCCTCCGAAACATTGCCGTTGTGTGTTCGAGGCTGGTGTGAACATGAGCTTACCTGCTGCAAGACCGGAGACTACTGACCGTTTGTCATCGCACATGCCTTTTTGGGTTGCGCTAGCACAAGGTATGTTTGGATGCGCAAACCTATGTCGAGGCTAATCGTACTCATTGGACATGTTGGGCAGCTGTCCAGGACACGCCTGCCAGGAACTGCAGTGCCTTCAAGAAGTTGCAATGGCAGCTGACGGCCTTCGGTACGTGCACTTCCTGTCCGATGACTCCGCAAGCTAGCAGCTAGCAAGCAGCATTTGGGCGTCACCTCGTTCCAGGTGCGATGACCCAGCAGAACAAGCAACAATGTTCAGTGTCACAAAGTTCTTGGACGTTCAACAGATTCCGACTTGATATGACAACTTACAGTCGAACCCTATTTGTCCCGCACTCTTCGCTGAACTCTTCTAGGTGCAGTTGATCTGGGTTCTGCGCGCCGG